TAATGTAGTAACAAATGGAAATAGTTTCTTCGCTTCTTTTCCACGAGTCCTGAGTAAATTATGTCTAGGGATGGCGGAGGCTTTGGAGAATTGTTTAGAAACTAATTTAGAAGGGAAACCCTGGTTAACAAGGTACTCTTTGTACTCAGCTGTTCTCTTGGCAAAAAATATTTCTTCAGAGCAATTTCTTTTCAATCTTGTGGCTACTCCAAAAGGAATAGCCTTGAAAACGTGCTGAGAATGGCAGCTGGCGGAAGGCGGAAGATATAAATGGCTATCTGTAGGTTTGGAATAATAATAGCTTAATAATAGTAGTTAATAATAATAGCTAATAATAGCTTTGGAATAATAATAGTTTGGAATTAAAGGATTAAAGTCACTTGATGAAAAATTGGGGAACTGCAGAGTTCGGACAACGTCAGAAACCACGAATAAAATTCGTCGGGTCACCAAGCGCCCACGAGGGCACAAGATTTTGAAGATCGATTATATGTTTATTCATACTGAACCGTGATAAACTTTGAATTTTCGCTTTTCGCTCATATTTGACAACGTTTGAAGGCTAAATAGATCGGTTGAAATGAAATGGCTGCACAGGAATTTTTTTTCTTCTCGGACTTCCTGTTCAATATAACTCGTGTATTCGAACGTGGTCACGGTTGCGAGGCAAGCTTGAACATGCCTAATAGTCATGTTTTCCGTTTATAATCTCGTGATTCACTACCTCGCAATCGGTCCCGTGTGAGAAAGAAGCGCAACATAAAGCAAAAGGGAAAAGGTCCATTTTCAGTTACTCATCCGCCGTGCGTTGTCTGCGTGGAGCTTTCTAGTCAATCCGGCTCCGGTTTTGATTTTGAACCATTTACACCCTTATATCAGCAACCAAATTCACCATATTCTTCTCTATAGATTTCCTTTGGTACTCACTCAATGAATAACTCAGCGGTAATGCCATAAGGAAATTTTAGATGCTGGTCTCTCTTAGGATTTGAAAAAAAATAAGAAAAAAAGGCAGGATTTTTCTGCTCGGTTTCGAGTGATTTTGGTGGGGTTAACGGAAAGGTCACTGATACGGAAATCACGGGTTGCGCATCGAAAACAAAAGTTGAACTATATTACCAAATCACTTAAAGGGAAAGTTTTCTAACATGTCTGAAATAGATCTTGACGTGGTAAATAGGATGTCCAAAAATGCTTTGCACAGGGAATTGTAAAACACTTAATAATTTATGATGATTAATTTCTCCTCTATTAAAAGGAAGTAAGCCATCAAGCTATAAATTTTCCCTGACCCTCCCACCACTTCATCCATCTCAGATGATTTAGTTTTGGAAGTGGTTCGAAAGTGATTGGGAATCATGTTTTTCTTAACATCAGCTTTAAAACTTACCGTAAACATTGTAATGACGTTAGAGTATCAAATTTGTTTTTCCGTATTGCGTATTGTTTTTATGTAGCATTTGTGAAATGTCGACGGTGGTGAAACTGAAACTGCCATTTCCGGTTCTCTGAAAGGCTTCCACCTTTTTCCGGTGGTATGACGTCACAGCCTGTCAAATAACTCTAGCTGTTATGACACGATGCTGCGGCGAAGAAAGCGAACACTTGTTTCCCGATGATTTATTTGAAGTTTTTCGTTTTATTTAGGGGCTCTGGAAGGGTGCTTCGGCTTTATAGATGCAAATCATATTGAAGGACTTAGATGAATGCAAAGAAGAGATACACTTTGATATTTTTGATCAGTGTGGTGTTCTGCAGTGCCTTCATCATTTCTAGGAAATCAACCCGTGTTTGGCGTCGTTCTACGAGGAGAAATTCACGGCCAAACGGAGCAATCCAGGTACTTCAACAAAGGCTATGTTTTTTAGACGAAGAAGATGAGTTTAAGCTTCGCGATAAGGTGGGATTTCGGCATGAACGTGCAGCAGCGACGAGAACGACATGCACTATGGAAACATGTTTTGATAGGACGAAATGTTTAAATGACTTCAAAGTTTACGTCTATCCCACTCAACCTGGCGAGAAGATTTCTCCTCTTTACGGGAATATTTTGAAAGTGTTGAAGGAGAGTATTTTCTACACAGATGATCCGAAAAAGGCTTGTTTATTTATACCTTCTGTAGATACACTCGATCGCGATAATCTTAGCGAGGATTACGTTCATGAGTTACCTCGCAAAATTGTATCGTTGCCATACTGGAATGGAGGTACAAATCATATTATATTTAGCCTTTTCTCCGGAACATGGCCTGATTACTCTGAAGACTTACGCTTAGATACTGGGAAAGCAATAGTAGCTAAGGCATCGCTCTCAACAGATTTTTATAGACCAGGGTTTGATGTCAGTTTTCCACTGTTCTTGAAAAGTCATCCGCAGAAAGGGAACGCAATTGATTCTCCTTCAAACTGTCCGGTATTTCCGCTTGATAGGAAGTACAAACTTGCATTCAAAGGGAAACGTTATCTTAGCGGTATAGGGAGCGAATCAAGAAACTCATTTTATCACATTCACAATGGAAAAGACATTGTGCTGTTAACAACGTGCAAACATGGTAAGAATTGGAAAAAAATCATGGATGAACGATGTGAAAAAGACAACGAGGAATACGACAAGTAAGTAATAAACATTTGCCGTATTTTAAATTCAGTTCTCAGCTCACTGCACATTGATTATTTTGAAATGGAAAACGTAGTTGAAAGTTAGATGAAAGCTTCATTTATCCAAGTCAAGTTTGGCTTTCACAGCGGGCTATGTTCGACTTAGTTCTTATAGCGAATTTAATCTGGAGGAATGTGCCTCCTTAGCGGTTTTAAGCTTGTACTTCGAGGTTCATGCTGTGAAAGCTCACATTTTTGTCTAATGCTCGTCTGATGTCGGCCTTAGTGATGGCTCCCGAGACTTTTTACGACGTTCAAACGATGTGAGAGTCATTCTGAATAATGCTATAATTCCCAACACGTGTGTCTTTCATTGTGAATATTTCTAAAGAACTAAATTTTGTTTTTGTTGATTTTGAACGAATGATTTCATTAAGCCAGGAATTAGCTGCTTAAAATCTGGCGTTAATTCCACATTTTGCTACTCAAAGTTTTCTCATTTGTTATTGTCGTCAGATGGAACTAAAGCTATTTAACGTCTTGCATGTTATAACCATACGTTCTAATTGTTCTCCTAACTCGTAATTAACAAAGTTAAATTTCTTTTCTCATTGAAACGCAAGCATCAACTTGTCAAGGTGAATACCTAGACATTACCCTTCATTTCGTGAACAAAATGTTCTAATTTTTCACGCAAATTTGCATAGCATTTATATATGTTTTCGTCGCGTACATTTTTATTCCGCAAAATAACTATATCTGATATTGAAAACCGCATATTGATATTGATTTATGACCCGATTGGTAAGAATTTGGTGTTAATTCCCAAGTGTGTTGAAAAAATCATTATTTCGTGGTTTTTGGTTTTAGTGCTAAAATATGCCTCTCCATTCTTATTTGACAAACTAAAATAATACAGGTAGTAATCACACCTTTTTTGATGACTATTTATTCATTTCATAATTAATTATTTTCCCTTTAGATTTTTGTCTTTTAATTTAGTTCTGAAAATTTTCACCCAGTATGAAAGGTATTCTAAAGTTAATTTGATGTACAGCATTATTTACCTGATAAAGTTATTCAGCTTAATACATTTGTTGGTAGGGGGTGATAAATGACTTACATAAGGTCATTTCGTGCAGAACTAGGAAATATCTGCTTTCACTTTTGAGTTAGTTTTGGTTTTTATTTTTATTTTTAATTAACAAAAGGTGTATCTCTTTGTCTCAAAGACATGGTCCCCTTGAAGTTTGATAAATTGCATCTACTCGCTCACCCACACATGCGCATGATAAAAGCTCTTAAAACTGAAATTAGCAATATTCAAGAACGATAACTTCTCATTAAGAAAGAGCCTTCTTCTTCTGGGCCTAGTTGTATGAAAGGCGGATAACACTAGCCAACAAATAAATTGCTATCCAGGGGATAATTGATAGCAAAATTTACTGCCCCATCCATTGGATAAAGATTTATCAAGTGGATAGCATTATCCAACATTTGAACAACTGGGGCCAGTTTGTTTCAACTGGATGATTTAGATTGTTCATTGGTCATTGACAGAAGGTTCAGGAAAGTTTTTTGTAAAATCTGCCCTTATATAAGCAACAACTTTGCCTGAGATGTTTTAAGATTAACTAATGATGCAAGAAACCATGAAATAGTTAGCATTCCCAAACTTGCTAAGGGTAGTTCTGCTCTGCAAGCTTTGGGCGACTTTCTTTCTTTAAGAGAGTTTTTTGTTTGGTTGAAAGGCAGATATGACTGTCTGATAGCTCATTAATCAAATTTTCTGTTTTTGTATGCATTATACTCTAAAAAAGGTTTTGCTGTCACCAATTTAGATAAAAATTTGTTTATGTTAATATAAAATTCATGAATACACAGTAAGGGATGTGTAAAAACTCTTTTAAAAGACTTTAATGAGACCCAAAAGTGTCACTGAAAAGATGCGTTCACTTCTATATTTGTGAAAACTCATTCCAAGGTGAAACTTAATCATAGTTCCGTTGCTAACAGCAAAAATGAAAATGTTTGAATGATATTGAAACTTCTCTAAACAAGTACTGAAAGCGTGGGAGTTATTTTGGGCGGAAATTACGTAATTGTTTAAGAAACTTGCTTAGCTTTATTATAACTTAAGTATGGAGTTGGGAGTGTCCAACAGTCTTTTGCGATTTTTCAAGCACACTCAACATGCTAATGCTTTAAGCTTTAGGGAGCTCCACCGCATTACTTCACATATTTTACCTGTGACGTGCACAATAACTTTCAGTGTCAAGGGAACTATGAAATATTGTGCCAATAAGATAGAAAAATATTGTAGAGGAAGGTATAAGCTTAGAGAAATATGGATGTTTATGAATGGCAAAGATTTAAATGGATTGCAAATGCAAAGGAAAATATTCATACATAAGTTTGCAAGATGCATCTATAAAACCTTGTTGATCACCGTAGCTCATCTGACTCCCTTTTAGTCTTATCTTTAATGTGCAATCAACATTTTTTAATCACAAAATTAATCATGAATAATGCAAAAGATTTTTCTTTCAGACTGACGGGAAGGGGTATTGAAGGAAACAATATTGATAAGTTGATTTTGTTCGTCAGAAAATTATTCATGAATATGTCTTACTAGCCCTCAATACTAAGTTCTTTGTAAACACATTTCCTTTCCTCTAGCAAACAAATAGATTTGTATTTACATTATAGTGGTTTCATTTGCGGCTGTCAGCTAATAGAACTTAATTTAGTTTGTTTTTGTGTTGAATCATTGATTGTTTGAGGTAATTCAGCAGTATTTTTCTGTATTTCAACCTTCGCTAATTTTGCCACATACTTCCCATTCTTGCACCTGTAATAATTGCTATATATCGTGAGAAAACCATGATGTCTCAATATCAAGGGGAAAAAAGTTTTGGTTTTTTTTTTTTTTTTTCAAAAAGGTCTTGGAAAGGTATTGGGAGAAGGAAAATACGAAAGTTTGGCCATTAAACCCGATACTATCTAACCTAGGAAATCTTGTAGAGTTCATTGCTCTCTGCAGATTTTTAATAGCCAGCCTTTAAGACTCTCAGCTGACAAAGGTGATGATAATTATTATTATAATATTTATCCCATATCAAGACTGGAACAGAAATGAGTAAGCAGCAAAAATGCTGGCAGCATGTGCTTAAGGAGAACACTGACTGTACCCGAACAAGGTTATTAAAGTTGTAATAGAAAATGATCATTTATTATTTATCATTAATTCCTTGCAGATATGACTATGAAGAACTTTTAAAAAATGCAACATTTTGTTTGGCTCCACGTGGTAGACGTCTTGGCTCCTATCGATTTTTGGAATCTCTTCAAGCAGGCTGTATTCCAGTTTTATTGAGTAATGGATGGGAACTGCCATTTTCTGAGGTTATTGATTGGAGCAAGGCATTGATTCAAGGGGATGAACGTCTTTTAACAGAGATCCCATCAGTTGTTAGGTCCTATGGTAAGGAACAGATCCTTGCTATGAAGCAACAAACACTGTTCCTTTGGGAGGCTTATTTCTCATCTATAGAGAAGATCTTGTTCACCACTTTAGAGGTGCGTCAAAAAATTTTACTACAAATTTTAAATTGATGAGTCTTTTAATGTACATCCTACACTTAAATGTTTTGTGAAGTCTAGCTTGCTTACAAGAGAAAAAAATTTGCACCTGAGCTAAGTGGCCCATTCAACGAGTGGTTATTGCAGTTTATGTCGCATGATGTGACAAGGAACATTGTTATTCCCTCTCTGATGAGATGCTGGTCCATCACAGGTCACACCCCTGCTCCCTCCCTCTTCCCCCCCCCCCTGGAATTTTGTCTGGCCTCAGTGACAGCTGGCCTGTGCCCAATTGCGCTCCTGGGTGGATAGAGGCACAGTGAGCGTAAAGTGTCTTGCCCTTAAAACAATAAAACCACCAAGTCATTGCAATTCCAGTTTAAATGATCTACACAACTGGATTTGAATTCAAATACTCAATACTAATCAACAAAGGATATACCACTATTAAGCGGAAGAATCAAATTTTAGATCACGAGAGTTCAATGTTAAGCTTGAGATGTAGTCTTTGCCTTCTGATGTACAAGCTCTCAGATTACACCCTTACATGTAGGGCTGCTTTGAAAAGTCATGTTTTTTAAACTTGCCGACACATTAAATAAATAAATAAAGGGAGTAAGTTTCTAAAGAAACTGTGGTGCTGCATTGGTGGGGGGTAACAAGGTAATTTGGTTTTATCAACTAAGTTGAAATTGTAAATTGGCCACCGTAAAGAGTTAGAAAGTTGACATTTCAAGTGTTAGCCCTTTGTCAGAGTGCCCTTTGTCTTTTGCTCTGACGAAGGGCTAACACTCGAAATGTTAGCTTTTTAACTCTTTATGGTGGCCAATTCACAATTTCAACTTAGTTGATATAACCAAATTACACATTAAATACTTGGATATTCCTGTAATTGAGCAGATTTGATATTTTCATCCCTGAGATATAAATGCCTTTTTCCTGTCTGTTTGCCACACTTTTCTCAACTTTTTAACTCCTTGATTTGGTGTAAAATAAAGCAATCTTCCTTGGATGATATTTCATCACCTCTACTGTACAAATGTACCGATATTGTGAGGACAAATTTGTAGTTGGTCACTCATGGAAGTAAAAGGATGCAGCAATAGATTTTTCGTTGCTTTCCCAGAGAGAGGGGCTTTAGCTGTATGTTTCTTTGTTTGTTTTATATATTTTTATTGATATGTGATATTTAGACAGGCTGGCCCATTTCAGCTTTAAAGCTGGTTGAAATGGGGGCCTGTTTAAACAATTAAAAGGCCAGACCACAACACTTGGAGCTTTCTTTCCTTCACTTTGTGAGAAGTACATAGGTTCTTTAATTTCCCTTGCTAACCCATACAAAGAAGATGCAGGAGATGGGCCCATGGTTTTTTGTCCTTATCCAAGAGGACTAGAACATCCTATCATTTGTGGATGTCATAGCAAAGGCAGCACACCGTCCTCAGTTATTTGAGTGTCAGTCTGGTCTGGTGCTTGAGCCCTCAACCTCCTGCATTGCAGTCCAGTATTCACCCATTACATGAGCTAACCAAGCATGGGTCATTTATTCAATTAGTTATCTGTTCATCCGATTCAATATAATTTTCATTGATGTATTAATTGCAGGTAATCCGTACTCGGTTATTTCCAAACAAGGCTGCCCTAAAGCCATTGTGGAACACATTTCCAGGGGCCCTTGTAATGAGGCCTCAGTATTCTATGGATCCAAATGACTTTCCATTTTTTTACAACAAACTGGGAATTGTAGAAGAGAAATTCACGGCAGTTATACACAGCACAACATCTGTCCTGAAGGACTCTTCAGCTCTCAGTAGGTTAATCAAGAATGTTGGGCAATCCAGGTTCATTGCCAAGGTAACTAAGACTATATATGCCTTAAGATTAAATATTTAGTTTTGAAGCTGGGGTTACTACCTTGTCACTTAAAAAAAATTCCATTTCATTACTGGAAGATATCTTGTTCCTGTTCAAAAATTGGATTTGTAGCCTCACACATCATTAAATAACTGGCAATGTAAATGTCAAATTCAGGGAAATGACTGGCAAAGCATTTGCATGCATTAAAAGTACATATTAAATGACAATGCAATACTGATCAATATTGACTCATCTCTCCTCAGTGGTGAGAAATAAAATAACTTGTAGCTTGAATAAATTTCCCTTAAGTCGTTGAAATTTGTCAGACAAAATTCTTAAGAAACAGTTGAGTCCTTCCAATCTCCTTATAATATCCATAGATGAAATGCATATTAATAGCACAAGCTACCCATGGACAAGGAACAAAAATTATATATTCTAAAATTTATTACCTGAACTCAGTCATCCACTTTGGACACAATCAGAGGGTGTATTTGTGGAATTTGTGTTGGAAAAGCATCTCAATATGTGCAATTAACCCTTCAAACATTAACATCAGTATGCATATTCTCTATACCATTCTCTAGACATTCCCTAAGATGCTGACAAGGAGAATTTGGTTAACAATCAGGAACTTCTATACTTGATGATCATTGCCATTAGTCTGGTGACCTTGATGTGTGATTTGGGGGGGAGGGGGTGATATTGTAAGGGGAGAGAGAGATGTTTGTCAGTGTTGGGGTTGAAGAGTGAAATGACTGATGCACAATGAATTCTGAGTTCAGCCCTCCAATAATTTAGTCTATTTTTAGCTTTGTGGTAAGTTAATTTTTTCTGTTTGGGAAATCCTCCAGATTGTAGTTTTTTGGACAGCTGATGCTCCCATTGCTCAAAACAGAAGATGGCCACAAGTCAGTGTTCCTTTGGTGATTGTGAGACCAGAATCCAAGGTACTTAGAAAATTACATCAGCTGCACCTTTTGTGTCACTTTTTTTGTTCTTGACACATGTATACGCCATCTGTGATCTATTTCTGGTTTAGAATCTATTACTGAACAGACTCGTGGCTCTTTAAAATCTATTCTATTTGTTAAATCTATAGCTACTGTATGGTAAGGTCCCTTAGATGTGACTGAGTTTTCTTGTTGTCTCAACTTTACAGACAGGAAACAGTCGTTTTTTACCCAGACCAATGATTGAAACATCTGCAGTGTTATCCTTAGATGAGGATATCAAATTAAATTCTGATGAGGTAAATGTTTTATTACGATCATAGGTAATACCCTTCTCCACCCAAGATCTCATTAGTAATTATCTTTACTGTCTGCCATACAGTTCTTAAGATGTTACTTTTGGAGAATTTGGTAGTGTATCAACCAATACTCTCCTATTTTTTCTTTTTTCTTGTCACTTGTCTTCTTGATGGTATAGTGATATTTTGAGGGGAAATTCTCTCTTGGTCACTGATGGAAATTCCATACAAAGGAAATGTAGCAAATGTTACATAAGAAATCTGTTGTTATCTTATCCCTGAAAATCATCATATTGATTTCTTTTAAAATCACTAAATTGTAAAGTGGTCTTGAATTATTGTTGTGTGGCCAGAGCTAATGATAAAAACTTGGAGGAATGTTGGCAGAAGAGCAAGACAAAATAGGAGTGGCTGCTGTGTAAACATTTAACAATTTTATAATATCTTATGATGGAACTTTGCTAAGATATGTATTCAAACATTCATAAACTTTCCAATCATGTGATTATTAATTATGTTGTTCCTCCTCTGTCCCTTTAGATTGATTTTGCCTTTTCAACGTGGAAGATGTTTCCAGATCGAATTGTGGGTTTTCCTGCCAGAAGTCATTACTGGGACAGTGCTAAATCACAATGGAGCTATTCATCAACTATGAGTAATCACTTTTCCATTATTCTGACCAGTGGAGCTTTCTATCACAGGTAATTTCCTCTTAAAGAATCCAAAGAGAGTAGTTGGATTAGGATGGGGGGGCAGAATAACATTCCTCTTTTGAATGCTTTCTAATTTTCACAATCTCATCTAATTTCTAGATACTACAATTACCAGTACACACATCATCTTCCACCGAGGGTTCATCGCATGGTAGAACACCATGGCACATGCGAGGATCTTGCCATGAATTTCTTAGTCGCTGACATCACCCGAAAACCACCCATCAAAATCTTGCCACAGAAAACATTCTATGACTTGAATAGCAGAAGTGCCAGGTATTCCAAGCTGGTGCAGCTTTTTGATCAACGGCAGAGATGTATGGAGTCCTTAGTGGATATTTTTGGTTACATGCCCTTGGTCAAGTCACAAATTAGAATGGATCCTTTACTTTACAAGGATCCAGTTTCAAATTTACGCAAAAAGTACAGGCTGTTGGAGCAATAATCATTATTGTCAAAAGATCATATATAAGTTTATCTCTACAACTAAAGAGGGTTTCTAAAACTTTATTTCTTACTGCAGTTTGGGATTCCAAAGAATAACCTATTTATTTGAAAATTATCTCCAAATGTGCTAAAATTTGATAATGGATGCCACCATTTTGAAAAGAGGTTTGCAAACTCTCAGCACAGGTTAAACCACAACATGTTAATCAAAATCACTCTGATTTCTCGTAAAAAGTGAGAACAGAAACAAAAAGAAAACCTTATCTGGTAAGTTAAGATTGTGGTCTTGTGGGTAGCTCCTTATTGTTGGAACAAATTACCATGAGATTGAACAAAGAAGAGTTACAATTTGTTATTATGGAGATAAGATTGCTAAGCAAGATTCAAAATTACAGAAACCATACTCAAATTTTAAGCCAATTGAGGACAATTTTCCAAAGTTAAGCCACTCTCTGAAATCTTAATACTCAGTCTGTGTTTTCAATTCACATGACTCACGCAATGCATTTTAATTGCAAAGTTAAAAGTGGGTATGCATGCTGTCTGGCCGTATCATCATATGGCCTTTTTTTTAATTTTGAGAGAGCAAATGCCCTACTAACTTAAAAAAAAAAAAAAAATCGGTGTTAATGGCCAATCATGCATGTACCTCAATTGGTGAATTTGGCCAAGTGTTTCTAATCCTTTACCTGCCTTGAGTGACCAAGGCAGAATTTCTCCTTACAATATCAATACAATACCAGGCACACAAGTGATGAGAATTAAGAAAATATAAGTTAGGGGATTTTAGGTTGATCCGATACCTAATTCTCCAAACTAACATTGCAAGAACTGTATGGCAGACAGTAAGGAGATTCACTAATGAGATCTTGGTGGTGAAGGGTAATCATTTTTGTTCTGGGTTCAATCAAGGTATGAGGAACAGATAACATAATGGTAAGATTCCACACCTGAAAAGCAAGATCAAATCTTGAGTTTTCAGGACCATGGTGGAAGGGTGTACTCCATTATATTGGAGTTGGCTTGTAAGCACACTAATTTTAGCAGGCCAGCTTCAAGGTGTTGGTTGCACAGGGACACTGCCCTCTTAAAAACAAATCATCTAGAATTATAACTCTATCATAACTTAGCTTGCACAAAGAACAATTAAACTAAGTGGTTAAGTTCTTCAAGGGTTAAAATACCATCTCAAGAACAGTGATATGATATCAAGGTGCAAATAGTTAAGGTCACTGACAAGTGAAAAATGAAATTTTGTTTAAACAAATTTTAGTCGTAATTTTTTTAATTTTCAATTTTTTCTAAAAACAGTTGCACCTGTTAATTAATTTAAAATTATTAACACGCGGAAAGACACCCAAGAACTAATTACAAAGTAAAGAAAACTAGGAAATTCAAAGGAATCATTCGTGTGTCCTTGTTGTATTAGTTTGATGTTCTTGAGGCAAGGCTGATTAATCTGTTCATTTTGATTACGTTAATGTGTACATTAATTTGTCTTAACCACGTAAAGACATATTCACAATGTATAGACTTCCAATCCTTGTATATATTTCCCCAAATAGTTAGTGTTTTTAGGTTGAAAATTGTTAACAGATTCAAGTTTGTCATTGAGGGATTTCTGCCAAGAATTTATTAAGTTGAGAGTATTTAAATGGTTCAATTTATTTAGGTGTATTTCTGGAAATTTTTCTAAAAAAAAAAGGAAAAATATACCACGTTTGTTTCATTTTAGATACTAGATCATGTTTACCACAGCCGCAAGCCCTTACAATAATTGCTCAGGATATTTGACCAGTTTGAATCTCTAGTTCTCTATGGAAATTATTTTCCAGCCCTCTGGAAACTTTTTGCATTTTGATGATTGTTTCAGAATTACTGAAAATGATGTACTCTAGTCTTTTTGGATTGTTTGTTTTCTTTTTTCTAACAATTTTACTGATTCTCGTCTCCGAAATTTATAACAGTTCCATACATTCACGTTAATATGTCCACAACAAAAAATGTTTATTGTTAAAAGAAAAGTTATACATTTATGAATTCCAAAATAAAGTAATACAATTTCTTTGATGGTTTTACCACACCATGTCATAAATAATGTCATGAAGCAGAGGAAAAAAAAGGTATTTTTGAAAGCCTGTCTTATTTTTCATATATTCTGTCATTTTGATACGTTTTAGGAATAGCCAAGGAAGCTTTGTTGAATCAGTAAACGGTAAACAGAGATCTTCAAAGAAGTGCGCTAGAGGTATCTGTTGATTTGTTTGCCCGTTTATCAAACTTACTTGGCTATCCTCCAATAACGGTCAGTGTTGGTAAGCTTAATATCACAGGAACCTTAGTAAAATTGGTTCAGAAGTTATGTATTATAGTTCAAGATTGAATAAATCTATTTCTGAGAGATTTTGATTCTGCTCCTTAGGGTTGTGGAGGGAATGTGTGGAAAATAAGAATTTTTCACCAATTCGGTCCAATTTGAAGGAATGTCTTAACAATCTCCATGTTTTTATTGTAATTTCTAACATTTCCTTAAGTTTACGTCCACAACAATACAAATTGTATCCACCGGTGAAATATTTACAATAAATATGAAACATCACTAGAGAGCAAATCACAAAAAAACAAAAATGATTTCTGTAGTCCAGGTTTTCTGCAGAATTTTACCCAGGTAATTCCATCGCAAGTCAGTAAAATTGCACCGACAGCAATGCATCTATTAGCCGGCAGAACGAGTGTAATCTTCTTGCGTCTTTTAAGGCTAACTAAGGCAAGCGCGAGGAGAGGGATGCAAAAAAACATTATTTTGATGATAATTGTTTCTCTGAGCTCCTCTCTTTGCGCTTACCTCCTATCGCCTGAAAGCGCAAATGAATCCGCTTTTTCTGCTGGCAATCCATCTAACTAACAAAGTCTATCCAGAAGCAAACTGTAGGGAAACTGAAGAAAACTGGAGACCAAATAAAAACAGTATCTTCAGATGTAGAGTTGAACTATGGTTGAACTGTGATTTGGACGGTGTCTCTTAGAGAAGCGAAATGATGACGAATTCTTCTATACACAATAAGCGTGTTAATGGACAGAAGTCTGTTTGTTTGCCATATGACCATGGCTAACTATCTTGACAGCCATCGTCGGCACAAAAACAGATACTCTACTTGAATCGGGTGCCCTTATTCCTGAAAGAAATGCATAGAAAACGAGTTGCACAAAGAAACTGTAGTTCAATATTGGAAGAAAAAAAAAAAAAAAAAAAAAAAAGTCTTTTTATAGGATTACACAATTACTGGTTAACCAGTAGTTTCCATTGTGGTCCTTGCAAACAAATGAAACAAATGGTCTAAATTGAACATAACATCATAAAGAACATCATTAAGAACCCCAACCGGCCGGAGGCAAACCAGTTGGCTATTTACAAGCGTGCCCAAGGATCTGAACTCGGGGCTACCGTGAAACAGATCCAGTGGTGAGGGTGGGACTCGAACCCGGGAGCGGCGGATTACGAGTCCGACACTCTAACCACTCGGCCACACTGCCTCCAGAGCCGGGAAGGCATTTCAACAAGGATGGAAACAAGTTCAAAATAGATTTGGTATTCCAGCCGTTTGATTCAACGAGGCGGATTCGCTTACAATAAAAATCGTAAACGAGAAATCACGTGTGTGAAATAGAAAGTCAGTTTTTCGCGTGCATTAACTTACATTTTTGCCACACCCCTTGAGGGAAGGCTGGTTGTATCAGCGAAAAACACAATTCGCAGGTATTAAAAAAAGTAACGATACTCTTACATATCCAACCTGCTTATATCGGTCACGTCACCATTCACGTTGTAAGGCGAGTAAGAGCCCTGTGCAATGTAGGGCACAGACGAGGAAGCCTGGGGCTGCCTGCTGATGCCACCTGACTGTTGTGTGTTGAGGCTAACGGAAGTGCGTCCGTATCTGTCACCTGACAGGCTGTGAGTGGAGTCAGAGGTAGACAAGGTTTGGAGCGAGTGGTTTGAGCCTCCACGCGCGTTGCCCACGCGGCGACGAGCTGTGAATGGAAAGAATAAAACGTAGAAATGTTGCTGTCGTCCGTCGAAATAACGGACGACACAAAGGAAATGAGAGAAAAGTATACATGTACTCAAACGTGAGGCAACTAAAAACATAAAGTCAAAATTATCGCACTTAACTAGTACAATACTCAAAGTAGTTCCATGCTCTGAAAACCGGTATGCCAAATGAGACACTGAGCTAGACTATCAACTCAGCCTTTACTTTTCCGAAGAAAAGTAAAACTTTCACTAAAACCATCAGCTTTTCCCCATACCTTTGTCCTGTTGCTGTTCACCAGTTCTCAGTAACGTTCCGTTGGGAAAGTCTTGTCTTAAACCAGTACTTCCCCAGGTACGATCTGTGGCACTACTCAACTGAACTGTGGTCACCTGGGAATTCAAAATATATTTGAAGGCGTGATAACAGCGACCAATCAGAAGAAAGGAAAATACCCTGAAGAGCCAATGAGAACTCAAACGTAAACAAGCAAACCGCCTGAAGCGCGGGAAAACGCGGGACACCAAGTCGACATTGGTTTTAGTTTTACATCTGATTGGTCGAGGGAAGCGCGAGTTTTCAGGACCAATCAGAGAGGAAGGTGAAGTAAAACCACTGCAGTCCCGGATTATTTTCGACACTCAAATAAAAATTCCTCAAGAACACTTTTCAATTGCGTTTCGCAAAACCAGAGCCGAAGTGATTACAAGGGCTACTCAGCAAAAGTAACAAAACAAACAAACAAGGAACTAGGGAGATGGCAAAGCGAGAATAAATAAAAAGCCCATAGCTCGGGAAAATGGGGGTTTCCAAGTCGCAAATGGTTTAGATTTTGTATTTAATTGGTTAAGGAAGTGGCGAGAAATTTCTTTACCAATCACAGAACGAAGTAAAGCAAAATCAATGGATTCCTGGCTTACACCTTAAACAATCAGATACAATGAAATATATGAAGTTCATATATTTTGAACTGCGGTATTAGATACGTATGATGCACGATCCTCGCAGTAGATAGCGCTATTTAAGCAATAGCGAAAATCAGACCTGAAAAAAATCAGGCCTGTACGGGATTCGAACCACTGACCTCTGCGATACTAGTGCAGCGCTCTACCAATTGAGCTAACAAGCCAACTGGGAGCAGGCCGTTAAGTTGATTCGTAATAAACCCGTGAAAGTGATAAATCAGATACAATGAAATATATGAAGTTCATATATTTTGAACTGCGGTATTAGATACGTATNTCTGATTTTCGCTATTGCTTAAATAGCGCTATCTACTGCGAGGATCGTGCATCATACGTATCTAATACCGCAGTTCAAAATATATGAACTTCATATATTTCATTGTATCTGATTTATCACTTTCACGGGTTTATTACGAATCAACTTAACGGCCTGCTCCCAGTTGGCTTGTTAGCTCAATTGGTAGAGCGCTGCACTAGTATCGCAGAGGTCAGTGGTTCGAATCCCGTACAGGCCTGATTTTTTTCAGGTCTGATTTTCGCTATTGCTTAAATAGCGCTATCTACTGCGAGGATCGTGCATCATACGTATCTAATACCGCAGTTCAAAATATATGAACTTCATATATTTCATTGTATCTGATTTATCACTTTCACGGGTTTATTACGAATCAACTTAACGGCCTGCTCCCAGTTGGCTTGTTAGCTCAATTGGTAGAGCGCTGCACTAGTATCGCAGAGGTCAGTGGTTCGAATCCCGTACAGGCCTGATTTTTTTCAGGTCTGATTTTCGCTATTGCTTAAATAGCGCTATCTACTGCGAGGATCGTGCATCATACGTATCTAATACCGCAGTTCAAAATATATGAACTTCATATATTTCATTGTATCTGATTTATCACTTTCACGGGTTTATTACGAATCAACTTAACGGCCTGCTCCCAGTTGGCTTGTTAGCTCAATTGGTAGAGCGCTGCACTAGTATCGCAGAGGTCAGTGGTTCGAATCCCGTACAGGCCTGATTTTTTTCAGGTCTGATTTTCGCTATTGCTTAAATAGCGCTATCTACTGCGAGGATCGTGCATCATACGTATCTAATACCGCAGTTCAAAATATATGAACTTCATATATTTCATTGTATCTGATTTATCACTTTCACGGGTTTATTACGAATCAACTTAACGGCCTGCTCCCAGTTGGCTTGTTAGCTCAATTGGTAGAGCGCTGCACTAGTATCGCAGAGGTCAGTGGTTCGAATCCCGTACAGGCCTGATTTTTTTCAGGTCTGATTTTCGCTATTGCTTAAATAGCGCTATCTACTGCGAGGATCGTGCATCATACGTATCTAATACCGCAGTTCAAAATATATGAACTTCATATATTTCATTGTATCTGATTTATCACTTTCACGGGTTTATTACGAATCAACTTAACGGCCTGCTCCCAGTTGGCTTGTTAGCTCAATTGGTAGAGCGCTGCACTAGTATCGCAGAGGTCAGTGGTTCGAATCCCGTACAGGCCTGATTTTTTTCAGGTCTGATTTTCGCTATTGCTTAAATAGCGCTATCTACTGCGAGGATCGTGCATCATACGTACCTTAAACAATGTTTTATTAATATTTACCCGAAGCGGAGCCTGGGAACGTGTTGTCACGATTCCTGGGAGACTGGGTTCCAAAGCTGACGTCATGCTTTGCATTCCACCCTGGCAAAAAAGTTTACGTAAGGATTTTAAAACATGGTTCGCACAACAAAAGAGGGGAATAATTCACATCTTGTAACATGATCAGTACGCAAGAAAATGACCGAGAAACACACGAGGTGGAGAAAAGCTGGATGTTTTGCACGAACCTGTTGTTCCATGAAATACAGTTCAGCTTTAGTTTTCTCGTCGCTCGACACAGGGATCCCATCGATGCACAAAAGGTTGGGCAAGCGGTAGACTAACAAAGGTCGGTGCAGAAGACGTCGAGTGACCTGGGATCGAATGAGCAAGAAGCGTGAGAGAGACATGGAGGACGCGTGTAAAGCATGATCAAATCGAAAAATCTATTGATGTGAAACACTGACGTTAAACGTCTGCGCATGTGTGAAAGTTGCAATGACTAGGTGGCGTACTTTCGTGCTGTGAGAACCGAGTTGTTTCATACGAGTTTCAAACAACCACACAATTTTTCCTTGTAAAGCTCAAAACAGAATGGTAAATCCTCAGGATACTCGTACTAGGTTAAACTTTGTGTTCGAAAAGTCTCAAGTTTTCCTGTTGCCTACCTTAAGTTTCTTTCTCCAGATTTCTATGAACGTTTCAATTTTCTTTCGCTCATTTTGTGAGACAACGGTTGATTCTTCCTTTGAAATTTTGCGCGGGAAATCGGCGCGCAGGCGGCCACAATTGATCCCCTCGCGTATGCCTGAAAATTGACCGCTGTGTTCTGTCGTGATTGATAAGAGGTTAAAGGTGCATAATGCGATAAGTCGACTTCAATCAACGTTAATGCAAGGCGCTATGAATGCAGAGGGAGCAAGAATCAGTGCGAACCCTATGTTGTCATGTAATAGACACAATGAGTCAAGGACTATGTGAAACCCTAACCTACCGCGTTATTTATCACCGAAAGTTCAACCAGGTGCCTTAAACATTCCAACCTTTCCAACTCTGCTACATCCTTAAAATGAAAAGTTTCAGAGAAAATTAAAACAAAAACAGTTTTGAAAAAAAATGGCTTTCTAATTTGAGTAGATTTGGGAAAAATCAGTTGCAATGCTTGAAAAGCAATCGCCGTGAAATTACTGCGTAATACAAATGTTGAGGTAAGTTGAGATAGTGCGACATAACTTACTTGAATACGGTTCATTCCCAGGTACAACCGCTGAAGATTTTCGAGAGGCTCAAGGTTTGAAAGTTCTCTTATCCTGGAAAACGAGATAAAATCAAAAAATTAAAATTTTTTTTAGAGACCTACAGAGAATGTAGGAGACACGATGGCCTCTGCCTATTGCGCTAAACTCAGTGTCGAGAGGTCTGGGTTCGAGACTTGTTTAGGTCAATGTGTTGTGTTCTTGAGCAAAACACTTTGCCTCTCTCTACCCTAGGGTAAAAATGGGTACCGGCAAACAGTCAGGGAGGCCTGATAAAACGTTGGAAGGGGGGGTAACCTTGTGATGAACTGGCATCCCATCCAGGGGAAGGTAGTATTACTTCTTGTCGCTTCTTGCTATGGAAATTGAGATAAGCTTCGGTTGGATTGGCCACCTATTTGAAGTACAAACTTATAGAGGGAGATAGCATTTAGAAATACCTTTACGAAAGCCGCAGTGTTATTACTATCTCCTACACACTGTTATTCGATACTGTTTTTTTTTTTAGACATCATTTAAGACTGTACAAAACTAGCGCCAATCAAACTTTCTCTCTCAATTTTTCCCATAGCCGTTTCATGACATCAACAGTTCGCATGAAATTTTCTCGCCACACCACGCTTTTGCCGCAGTGTTGTTTTTGAGAACTTTAACCCTTTAACTCATAGGAATGACTGGAATCTAATCTCTTCTTACAATATCAACCTTGAATCAAATACAATGATCACGAGAAGAAAGAAAATGATCACCAATTTAAAACGCTCCTGATTGTCGCACAAATTCTCCTTGTGAGCACCATAGGTAATGCAAAGAGAACAGTATGGAGAATATGCATAATAATGTTGGTTGTAAAGGGTGAACAAAAAGGGGAAATAATCGATATGGAGGTTAACAAAGCTAAAACTTATTTGACCTGTTTTCTTCCATATGTAACTCTGTTACATGCCATTGACTCACAAATGACGTGCTTGAAATATTCTGAAAAAGATCATTTATAACTGAAATAATTGAAACGAAAACCAGATAAACAGAAACAGTTCGACAAAAACAAGACTTCAACAAAACACCTTTCCCAGCCAAAAGTTACATTTGAATAAAGGCTGATAGTTTCTAAAGTTACATTTGTTACAAAGGAGATGTCACCTTGATCTTATTTCGATCCAAAACAAGCTCCCGAAGTTCTTGGAGTCCTTCGAGTCCTTCCACCTTGGTTATTTCATTTCCTACAAGAAAAATATTCTTGGCACAGACTTGCGACAACGAACGAAGCTACACATTGTCAATTCCACTAAGGTAGGAATTACTGCACCTCGACTTTATCTTAAAGTTTCAAACAAAACTGTGGTACTAAAACATTCAGATACAAACTAAATAACAATTGTTTCCTGTAACGCTATCTGTTATGATGTTAAAGGTATTCCGAATTTTAAACCCTGGTGCGTGAACCTGCAAATGAAAGCAACTGAGTGGATGTTTTTGTGCCCAGACCCTTTCAACGTGTCATCCGCCATTTAGATTATGCAGATTACCACTAAACTTTCAGTCCCAGACTCTAATTCCCCGTTCCCCGTTCCTGATTTTAGTAACATCTGTACTGAGCAAAATTCTCATGTGGAACCGTTAATTATGTCAAAAATTACAATTTACCTTGCAAGAAAAGAGCTCTTAAGTTAGTTAGTCGTGACAAGTGAAGGGCCGCCATGTTGGTAATACCATTGTACCTGTCAACACACAAAGGAGAATAACACAGTTTGTCTAAAAAGTTTCGTTCCAGTAAAACAGAACTTCACCCCTGAAGTTCATACCACATTTACTTCATTCCAAAAGACGCTAAGAAAGTTTTTCTTACCCCAGGTGAAGAACCTCGAGATTGGGAAGGACTGGGGTGAAGTTCTCTGGGTTAGTAATCTCCAATCCCGAAGAGACATCACTGCCTCGTTTTGGTGCGTTTGCTGGTGACATTGCTTTAGGCTTTGCGACCACACACTCGATGTGATTATGATTTAGACAAAGGACCTGGGGAAGAAAAATTAACACAAATCTCATTGAGCTTGGTTTCCACAATTTTAGCAATAATAATTCCAACTCGATATATTTGTTCTTTTACTCTTCTGTTACAACAAACACCAACTATTCTAAAGTAGGTTTGTACATGCACATTTTATCATCTCAGTCTATGTGTTGGAGACATGGTGGTTTCATTGCCTACAACTATGAAGAGGGATAGATAGAGGGAGGTCTGGGTCAAAGCCCAGGCCTCCCTCTACCCATAAATGCCTGGATGGGATCATTTTTGTCAAATAAATCGCAGTTTGTTAAAAAAAATAGTTGGTGCTACCTTGGGTCATGTCGTACCTTGGGGTGGTACCCAGGGGTGGTATTCCCCAAGGGACTAAACTGGCCCCCCCTTGCTGTTTGCAGTACTTGTTAATAACCTGGCCAGGCAATGGAAGATCAGATCTAAATTAAATATGTCGACGACCTTTCAGTTGTAGAGATCATACCCAGGTGTTCCACTAGTGTTCTTCCGTTCATTGCAAGAGATTTATACTTATAAAATAATAATAATAAAAAAATAATAATAAATTATAAATTATACCCAGGTATTCCACTAGTGTTCTTCCATTCATTGCAAGAGATATTCATACTTATAAAATAATAATAATTAAAAAATAATAATAAATAATAAATTATACCCAGGTGTTCCACTAGTGTTCTTCCGTTCATGGCAAGAGATATTTATACTTATAAAATAATAATAATAAAAAAATAGTAATAAATAATAAATTATACCCAGGTGTTCCACTAGTGTTCTTCTGTTCATTGCAAGAGATATTTATACTTGTAAAATAATAATAATAAAAAAATAATAATAAATTATACCCAGGTGTTCCACTAGTGTTCTTCCGTTCATTGCAAGAGATATTTATACTTATGCTAACGAGTATGGCATGCGCCTTAACCTTGTGAAATGCAGGGAGATCTTTATCGACTTCTTGCACTATCAGCCGCAACATCCCCCTTCTTTACAGCTTTCTGGGTCTGAAATCGAGCGTGTCCACAAGTACAAGTTGTTTGGGGTGTTATGTTACTGATAATTTATGCTGGAATACGCACTGTGAGTACATTGTTCAGAGAGCTCGCAAACGCCTGTTCGCACTGCGTTGTCTGAAGAAGTCAGGTGTTTTGGAAAGGGAGTTAGTTATGGTGTATTCCAACATGATTCGTTCAGTGTTGGAGTATGCCTCCCCAGTTTGGGCAAACCTGCCTGATTATCTTAGCCTCCTAATTGAGAGTGTGCAGATAAAAGCCTTGGAAATAATCTTTCCTGGGCTTCCCTACAGGGACGCACTTGTGCTGTGTGGTCTTTGCACTCTCACTGATCGGCGTGCCGCTGTATTCACTAAGTTTATCCAGAGAGTTCGGGACACTNACTTTACCAGAGGCTGCCATTTGTTAGTTAGTTTCTTTTTTTTTTTAATAATTTGTTAGTCGACATTTTCATGTATTTTTCGATTTTTAAGGATTTTATCTTTATTTGTTTGTAAATATTTTTGATGATTAGAGTGAATTATCGTTATCATAGTGTGTATCGTCTAGTTTTTCTTACATTTTTATTAGACATTTTAACACATTTTTTTCGATTTTCAAGCATTTTATCGTAATTTTTGTTATAATTTTTTGTGATTATGGTGAATAAAGGATTATTTTAAAAAAAATATTATTATTATTATCATTATTATTATTATTATTATTATTATTATTATTATTATCGTAAGTCCTTACCTTAAGACTGACGAGGTTCACCAAGCCGCCAAATGAAGTGAGCGAGTTGTGTTCAAGATTAACACTGAAAGCGTGAAAGAACAACATTGATTCGTTAGGAAACAAAGAAAATTGTATAATGGTTTTTACAAGTCAACAAGGGGGATGCAGTTTTTGAATAAAATTACTTCCAGATCGTTCGAGCACAGTTTGTAGGGTGAATTTTCGACAACTAATTGCTCTCCTCTTTTACGCTCGTTGTCAGTGTCCTCTTCCTATCTCGGAAGGGAAAAGAGAAGACCCTAGAAAGGAGTCTTCCCACAAATCCAAACGCATAAGAAAGTTATTTTGCGGCACAAAACGAGGCCTGGTACCTACCTTCTTAAGTTAACAAAGGCGTCTTTAGTTCCAAGATCCACAGTTCTTAGTGAGCTGTGAGGTAAGTCAAGTTCTCTGAGCTCGGAGAAGTTTGAGTGTCCCAAACGTTCGGCGATAAAATCAGGAGTTAGCCTGAGATACAAAACACGAGGGAATATGATGAGCCAATCTTTCTCACGGCACTTTTTCTTTGGTTAGGTGACAGTCCTTCGAAACTTAGCCTTTTTTTTCCAATCACAAAACGAGGTTACTGACCTTCCTCCAAACATATCTTTGGCCAGACTTCCCTCTGAAGTTTCCTTGAAAACATTAATAATAACAACGTAAATTTTCGCCGTTTGAAAAAAACAAAACACAAAAATCGAATTCTATCTTAGAAGAGAAAACAAGAAAACTATCTCAAAATCACTAAGGAAAAAGGATTTAATTTCAAAGAAAACACTAGTTTTCTCCACTTTCTTAATCGTCGAAGGCTACGAGGAAACTTAAAACATGGATGCGAAACTGTCACGCGAAAGTTACAATGCCGTCAAAATGTACGGTATAGATTCCCAATTATTCCAAAGAACTTTTTCTCAACCAAATTAATCAACGTTTTTGAGCTCTGTGGACCGCAAAGAGATGATTTATTATTTCTCATATGATGTAGGGATTCGTCATACCACAGCCAGTCCATCCAATGCCTTGAGTGACGCCAGGTGATAAATGACGAACAAACGGTAGTTCTGACCAGCGGTAGACATAGGATTGCCACACAGGTCAAGAATAAGAAGACTGGGGAGAGTCTGCGAAAAAGAAGAGATCTAGTTCAGCAACATATCAAGAAAAATAACCCTTTACACCCTTATGTCAGTGCGAATATTCTCCACACTTTTCTCTCTGCATTTCCTAAGGTGCTGACGATGAGAGTTTGTTTAAAGGGATCCTCCACTGTTTTCGAAAATATCGCTTAAAATGCTCTTTAAGTGTCCAAAAGTAGATTTTTCGGAAAGAAAAATGTTCTCTCCCCTTAGATTTTTTGTTTTGACCTCTCAAAAGAGGCCTTCGTGACCAGTTCGAACGTCCCGCGATCGCCATTTTGATAGAGCGCAAGGCTCTCTGGGGTGATGACGTAAAATGGTTGCTCGATCCCCTTGCCCTCGGTAAAATTAGTAGCAAAATGCCGCATTGCGTTGCTTTTGAGTGTAGTATTCAAGCTAAAAACAGGAAAGGGGTAAAACTCTTCAAAGCAATGCTGTTCGAAGTGCTTCGGACACAGACGGGAGTCTTTGGGCAAGGATGTCCATCCAACAGCATGATTCCAAGCTCGTCGAATCGCTGCATCATTCGAAAAATTGTGGAAACGAATTTTGGGATCGTTTTTCCTGTTTTTAGCTTGAATACTACACTCAAAAGCAACGCAATGCGGCATTTTGCTACCAATTTTACCGAGGGNTAATTTGGATATATCAACAAAGTTGAAATGGTAAATTAGCCACCGTAATGATTACAAAAGCTGACGTTTCGAGCGTTAGCCCTTCGCTACAAGACGTTAGCCCTTCGCAGCTGACGTTTCGAGCGTTAGCCCTTCGCTTCGACGAAGGGCTAACGCTCGAAACGTCAGCTTTTGTAATCATTACGGTGGCTAATTTACCATTTCAACTTTGTTGATATATCCAAATTAGAAGAATGTCAAATTTTCAGTTGTTCACGCACCTCAATCTTAGTAAGATCGTTGTTGTTGAAAGATGCCCATCGTAAATTTTCCAGTTGCTCCATGTTCGCTAACTTTCCAAGATGTTGGTTGTCGAGGTTCACCGTTGTAACCTGAAACGCAGGAAAATAATTGTACGTATCAGACCTCAACCTAAACGGCTTAACCTGCTCCTGACCCTCGGCTGAGGAGGGGGGTGGGTCGAAGGAAAGGCAGTACGATTCTTTCTTCTAGTCCTCCCTCGCCAGTGATGTAAGACAAAAAGGAGGGGGTGGGGGGTGGGGAATGAGGTACGACGCCTCTGCCAAGTCCTCCTTCCTTTCTGCAATGGCTTTCATTTTCACATGCATAACTTTCCTGGTCAAAGCAAAAGAAAGCCTTGAACCTACTATTGTAACACTGTTTAAGATGAGTCATGTCATTTTGTCCAAATACCTTGATAAACCATTGACTGTCATCGTCTTGTAACGTAACAGGTCTGTTTTGACTGCTGGCCAGGATAGCTTGGGCAGTCGGCACCAGGCTCAGTGTACGAGGTTTGCTGTGATCTGTCCGAGCATGCGCAAGAATCGCGAAAGAAGAAGGGCGGGAAGCGGCCGCCATCTTTAACGCTGTTGTCATCTCGTCGTCAGTGACTTGAACTCCATCCAAGTACTCCAGGTTTTTCAGTCTCCCAAGAGCTCGCATTCTTAAACTTTCGGGCTAGGAAATGACAATATTTTCCTGACTTCTATTATCTCAAAGCATCCACTTAGAGTCAGAAAGGGCGGTGATTAGCTCCTAAACCCGACGGGGTCATTGTGCTATGGTCTTTGGCAAGACGCGGTGGCTTAATGATTAGTGCGCTGAACTCGAGAGGTCTGGGTTCAAGAGAAGCTTGATGAAATGCTGGGGGGGGGGGTAACCTAACCATGCACTGGCATTCCATCCAGGGGGGAGTGGCACAACTCCTAGTCGCTTCATGCTCAGGAAACCAGGATGAGCTCCAGCTGCAGGAGGGGACGGGGGGAGGGGAGGAGGGCGCTTGGCTTGAGTACAGACTTTGGTAAGACACTCAGCCCTCACAGTAACTCTTTCCACTGAGGAGTCAGAGTAGGTACCAGCAAACTGTCAAAAATTTTGATGAAATGTTGGAGGGATGGGTAGCTTGTGATGACTAGCATCCCATCCAGGGGGGAGCAGTAATAAGCTTTGACAGTTTCAGTCATAAGGTTTCTTAGACGTAACCCCGCCTTCTTTCTGCATATTGCTTAATCACTTATGTATGCGTAAAAACTATTCATGTCGCACCTTTTGCCAGGGATTACTGCGCGTGTCCAGGTAAGTAAGGGAGATCACGTGTTTTCTCATAATGCCCAGTTCCTCTCGGGTGTGCATCAAAAGGTTCCAACTCACATCTAAATGCTTCAGACGATTGCAGCCCTGGGAAGACACACAACACTTTGTCAATCGCTTTACACCGGCAAAGTCTCTATTTTAAGTTTTGCTCATATATAACACCACATCACCTGTCTACACACACCTTAAATCCATCCAAGGTTGTGATTTTGTTAAAACTGACGTCGAGATACTCCAAGAAAATCTGCAAAACAAAAACAAGGAATATTCCTAAGATCAGCAATACATTTGTTGGAAAATACTAAAAAAAAGAAGCTATGAAAAATAGCTAAGGCTGCTGTATTATGCAACCTTTTCGACACAACAAAGTAGCAAAACGAACATTTTTTTTAATTTTTTTATTTTTTATTTGAGGATTTGTACCAAGTACTGGAGCAGAAACAATAGGACATGGGTCCCCTATGAGGTTTAAGCTCCAACAAACCCACTAATCCCACCCCAGGGGAGGACATCCATCACNGTAAATAAGGTCCTTATCCGAGAAGACTAGAATATCTAACCATTTCTTGATGTTATAGAAAGGTAGCATATTCTTCTCAATCATTTTAAGACCTTGAGTGTTGCTCCGGCCGGGGCTCGAACCCTCGACCTCCCGCACAACAGTCCAGCGCTCTATCCATTGAGCTTACAGGGAGAATATGTCGAAAAATCAAGAGCTTCTTTTAGTTCGCGATCATTTCCTTTATTCTCATTACATTAATGCGGGTGACAATGTTGGGAGAAATTGGATCCTTAACACTCTTAGGGATTAGAGGGTCAAATTGCATTGTCATGGGGCATTCAAACCTAAAATTTCTCCAGTGAGAACAGTATGGAGAATATGGACACTGATGTCAGGTGCTAAGGGTTAAAGAACTTTGTAAGCCTAAAACAAAACTGAAAAATAACATTCTGATTGGCTAAAACTTAGTCTTACCATGTGACCAATATCATCCAATCGTGTTAGTTCATTAAAGCTGACTGTCAGTCTCTTGAGCGCCGTCATACAGCTCACGAGCTGTAGGCGGCTCAGACCGTTACCATGGAGATTTAAGCTCTGGCAGAGAAAGAATGGATGGAAAGTAGGACGACTCAGTTCTAAACTACTTGAGAAAAGTCAAATGGGAAGTCTAAAAACTAGCGTTAAGTTACTTACAACAATATGTTCCAGACACTCCACATTACACCTTTTAAACAACAGTTCTTCTGTTAGAGCAATTAACCTGAAAACAGAGACGAAAGTAGACAAAAATATCTTATCTCCTTACCCTCCCTTCCCTTCCTACCCACCCTACCAAAAGATGCTTTATTACCTTGGTCTTGGTGGAATAACAGGTTCCATGTTTAAAACATCCTCACCAGGAATGTTTTCTTTCTCTTCGCCAGGCTCCCCGTTCTGTTTACGACTTGTTGTGGCCAAATCCCCGTAATAATAAATAAACGTAGACTTGGGTTTCACCTGAGGAACAAGTTTGGTCAATCAATAGAGGTAAAGAATGAGTATGACTAGCACGAGAATGACTGGTAAGCCCTCATAGATAGCACTTCAGCCAACGGATGTATGAGTCCTTGAGTAACGCGAGCCAGCGGGAGGTCCGCAAAGGTCTGGAACTGATCATTAGCACCAGACACACACCAAGGAAACCCCTCCCCAACTCGTCACAAATCCTCCCGCGGGCGGAAAAACGTGCGTTCCGCAACGATAATAACAAGACTAACAGTTATTAGCTATCTTTTTCGTAACTAAAACCATCGTTCCAAGGTCTCAACTGTAGTATTAATGGGCCTTTATCGAGTTCCAAGATGCCTCATTTTTTAAAACTGAGGCTAAGTACAAAACTCGTACTTTGGTCAAAGGGCAGAAGGATTAGGTTCCAATGATTCCAAAAGCAATGGTTTCAATAGCTAATAATAAATAATAAATAAATAATAATATTGAAAATTAAAGAGCTCGCTAAATTAAATGCACGAGGCAAAACCACCCAAAATAGTAAATGTGTAGTACGATGAAACTCCTGTTAGAAGACAAAAAACCCTGAAATTTGGTTCCCGACTTTGAATGGCAAAAGTTTCAGAAAAATTGATTTCGGAATTATTTTCGTCACTTGACTGAAAACTGCCAAATGAAGACTTATTGAACTAGCCGCACCAACATTAACGAAATATTAACGAAATATCTTTCCGTGCCTTGGTAATGTATTCAAAATCCACCACGTACTCAGGTAATACCATCTCGTGATCAAACACGAACCACGCACACTGCCGCGCGATGCACTCGCAAATCGTGCCCATAACTGGTTTCTTTATTGTCGATTCAGGTCTGCCCGGACAGTTCTCGTGTTTTCGCGCTCGAAATACCGAGTCTGCTCCGCGATATGTTGTTCTGGTGATTCTAATCAAACAGAGACATAAAGACATTTAGTTATTAAAGGAACATTGTTGCCTCTTAGAGGCCTTCGACTTTGCCGAGATCCTCGCCTTATAAATGGGACACGCTCTGCTATATCGCTGCTTCCGTGAGTTGGCAAGGTTCAAGTGAGTTAATTGCGCGTTCCGACTTGTTGGCCCTGCAGAAAAATCGGGCCCTCGAGTATCGGAATATCCCGCCTAGGGTCCGCAAAAATCCCACATGCGGGATCCTTTTGACGGCACTTTTATTAACAGAACAGAAAGTCAGAACTGAGAAGACAAAGGAAAAATTTCTTCAGTTTTCTGACAATAAATCACACTTTTTAGGTCCCATCAGACTGCCAGGTACGTTCGTAAGGGTTGTTCAGGCCACACTTCGTCTACGTACGGCCATTTTATTCGGGGCGAGCTTGGTTTTAAGCTCAGTTGATAATTAGGAGCTTCAGGGTTCAATTCTGCCCTGGTTATTAAGCAACTACAAGGCTTTCAAACATACAGACAAAAGTTGCTCTCAATGTTAATTTCTGACATACTTGTTTTCATTTTTTGCTGGCACGACTTTTCCGACAAACACTTTGGCTACAATCAGCTGACCTAAACACAAAAAAAGAAGTAAAACAGATAACAAAAAAAATTAACTCAGCACACGTTACACAAACTTTAAAACTTTTCCGCACTGCGGGCTAGGGATTAGAAAAATAAATAAACAACAAATAAATAGAAAAATAAAATGCGGTGAAACAACTTGAGCAGCTCAACAACACCAAGATGCTTGTTAACCCTTTCCACCCTAACATCAGAATGCAAATTCTCCATACTGTTCTCTATGCATTTCCTAAGGAGCTGACAAGGAGAATTTTTTTAACAATCAAGAGCTTTTTAGTTGGTGATCACATTTCCTTTATTCTTGTGACTTTAATATTTGTTTTGAAGGCGATATCGTTAGGTGAAATGAGATGCAAGTCAACTTTAGGAGTCAAAAAGTTAAAGTTTTCACTTTCAGTTTGCGTGTCACGGGTTTTTCCGGCGCGTTATTAGTATTAAGAAATTCATCTTTATTCCGATCCGAAAGAAGGTCACAACAGCGACTAAAGAACGAACAACGAAACTGCGAGCTTAATAGTTAGATGATGCAATAGGAGAGCACGTGTAATTCCCTAGAGACTGTCACATGATCTTATCCAACGAATCACATTACATGATTATTATTTCTCCAACAACTTGTACTCAACTTTGCGTAGTTGGATAATAATGGTAAGTGATGTTTCTTCAACTGTATTTACGTTAATATTACCTCTACGTGGATACTTTTATGCGCTGTGTAATATTTATTGATCTGTCTCTATAATCTTACCATGTCTAAACGGACACTGGTCAGTACTTCCTCTATCTCTGGCCCGTTTCCTGAGAAAATCCACCCTTGATCTATCTCAGACACTAACACTGTTAGCCAGTGGCACTCCGCCATCTTCATTTACGCTCTGTAAAAGTAAACAGCGAATTTATCGCACAAAACTGGCACCATGGCCAACCACACGGGCAACCAGTTTTGCTGACAAGAAATTCAAAGGACTGATTGCAGAGACAACCAAACTTCAAGAAAATACTTCCAAACCCAGTCAAGAAACAAATCCTCTAAGAGCGTATTTAAATTAAGTATCTTGAGTCCAAAACCAAAATTATCACTCCAGACAACCAGAGAGAGGGAAATGTTACAACGAGCCAGTGAGAATTAAAAAGTAAAAATGCGCGGGAAAACGCGGGTGACCGCGGGTGAGAAAGCTTGCTCGCGCAAGCTTTCTCAAACAATCACAGAGCAAAGTAAAACCCCGAATTACTTTCGATACTGTTGAAAATGTCTCTGAATCTTAAGTTGGAACAACTAGACTAGAAATTTTCAATGAGTTTCGGAAGACATCCGATCTCACATTGGTTTTGCTTTCTTTAACTCGATGATTGACACTAAAAAATCGCGCCAACCACTAAAATGACGAAAACCGCCAAAACTTCACCAATACCGTCTTGGTAACTCGTATTTTCTCGCTCTTACGGCCGTTTCTTATTGGCTCTTTACGACACCAGTCTTTCTTCTGATTGGCCAATTTTCATAACTTAAGATTTGGTTTTAAGACAGAGTCAAAAAGAGCTGTTATAAAAGTACAGTCTTCTGAACGTACCTCATAAACCTGCGCTGGACGAAATCCTTCTTCCAATACTCTTATCGGTTCACCATTTCCATCCAGCAGAGCAGGGTTCCACATAAAGAACAGATATTCTAGAAGCCTTTTGTATGATCTTCCCCTAGCCAAAGATGTCAGCAATTCATTAAGGCGGTTTCTTTTAGATCTTTCATTATTTAACAACCAATGTAATACAACTTTGCCGGCTCGGAGGTCCGTATAATGAAAAATTATGACACAGGTCATAGTAATTGCGCCCGCGGTAGCAGCTCTCAGGTCTGGGGTCACAGTTTTCTAATCGACCTTCTACCTTTTCGAATCGACCTTCTACAGTGAGTCGGATTTGGGAGGGGGGGGCGGGGGGAGATCACATGCTTTTCAGTCGTCTTTAACATAGTTTAAAAGGGGGGAAATAGACAATTGACAATAAATCCTATCATAACACAAACAAAATCTTCGGACTCTCCTCCAGGCGACATAAAATGAGGGGTCCTTTTTCAATGATTTGTTCGTGTTTCTCAATGTTTTCATTGTTCTCACTCTCGTCTGTATCATCAGAGAAGAAATCATGAATTCTTAGTACGCCACTAGAGGCAATGCAATTCCAAGAAGTAGCGAGTGTAACCATAAGAAGCTAACTTTAAGTACAACAAAACTGTTTCCATTTTTTTAACCACATGTTCAAAAACTCACGAAGGCGTTACCGTGACAACGGGAAGAGATACACATATCCAGACCGCACTTAAACCACTCAAATTGTAGCATTTGATATCATACACTCTTGGGAGAAACAGAAAACTTATCTTCTTAAGTGTTCACATACTGAGTTAGTTCCGAAATGTCATCCCGGTGCAATATCTGATCAAGTTTATCATCAAATCTCGTTCTTAAGATTCTGTTATGGATTCTTGTGATCCTGTGCACCTTAATTCCAGAAATTCCTAAACCCTGAAATTAACAAGAACTCAAAATAAGCTATCTTTAATCAGAAAATAGAGCTGTTTTCAACTGACATCGAAAATAATCACGGATTCCTTTGGTTTTGATGCGCCCCCATCCCCTCCCCCCCGAAATTTTAGAGAGTTCATTCCATTACAGCCAATGAGAGAGAGGGAAATGTTACAACGAGCCAATGACAAGTAATACACCCGTTTGTCGGTGTAATGCTGACAACTGCTTAAAGTCGAACAATGGCTTGGTTGCCATAGTGACCTCCCTGCTGCTAGCGAGACTGCTCATCCTAACGAGGCTTCGCTGACGAAGGGTTAACGCTCAAAACGTCAACTTTGAAACTTTTTCCGGTGGCCAATTTATATTATCAACTCAGTTGATAAAACTAAAATCGCCTTGTTGTACTCCTCCACCGACGCAGCACGACATGTTTCTTTAGAGTTTACCTCCTTTATTTATTGCTTTACTCGCCTCCTCTGTCTCTACCTTAACGGCACTTACCCTCTAATACTAGAGACAAAATTAAACAATAAAAAAAAAAAGGTTGCAATTCTCACCGAGTAGTCTCCAACACAGAACCTTGAAAAAACCAGATCATGGCAGGATTTGTACCTACCAAAAATAAAACAGTTTTGATCATGCATCATTCATGCTAAAGAAATCACCAGGGTCCCAGTTGTTCGAAGGGCGAATGACGCCATTCATCTGGTAAATCGCTATTCAGCGGATAAGTGTTCACAAAGCGGACTGCAATGGTCGTTTGTAACTCGTGTAAGCAACTTGGTTCTAGCAGCCTGACAGCACGCTAAATAGTCATGCCACAGCAGCAAAAAGAGTGTGCATGCTCCACTAACCTAACTCCAACCACCATGTTACGGATGCTGTACTTCAATAGCTAAATTCACAGCTGTTACCACACTATTTTTTTGGTTGTGTAGGATATGTGACGGAGGACGTTCGGCGGAAACTCTCCTGAAAACGGCAGCCTTATCTGTTTTGGTTTGGGCTTATTCCCGTGTAATGAAAACAAAAAATGGGAATTTTAAACCTACCGCCATTTCATCTCGGTATTGTTACTATGGAAATACTGTTGTGCATAAAACTTCTCCTGTGTTCACGCGCACTTTTTTTTTTGCTTTTTTTAGTCAATACAATGTTTGCACATGTGCCGATGCTTGAGCGCTGTGTTAGCGATTCCTAGGTTCCTCGTTCATTGCTATTCATGATTTAGACGGTAAAATAGTTTGGTACCAAGGATCTGTTTGTTTGCCGTCTTCAAAGCGGACATTTCCTCCAGTCTCCAACTCCAACAAAAGCCGCTGAACTGTCATCTCGGACACATTATTGACTTGTTCACAACTCTCCTGATGGCACTGATTAATTCTGAAAGAAAAAAAAAAGAAGAGCTCTGTAAATTCTTCTCACTAATTTATAAGGAATCGCACGGAGCTAGTTGGGAGAAATACTATTCAGATCTAAGATCAGTTCTTACTCTTCGCACTGTTTCTGTAATTTGGCAATTCTTTTGAGAAGTGCTTCCTTCTTCTTTTGCAGCTTCTGTGAGATCATCATTGTATCAGCTGCCATGCTTCCTTTTTCTTCCATGTTTTCTTTCTTTCCTTCATCCCCAACAACAGGACTTATAGGGTTTTTGTTCTCTTTGAAAGATGAAGACAATCCTTCTCTTTGTTCCTCAACCTCTCTCTCTATCTGCGATGAAAGAATGAGTAAAATAACGACCCTCGTCACTTTTTGTTTCCTTTGAATGCGCGCTTCTCGATTGAGTATCGAAAAACGAAAACCAATCGAAAGTAATCACAACGGCCAATCAGAAAAATGGACCTTACAATACAAACAACTGAACTGCCAAAAGCGCGCGAAAACCCGGGTGGCCAAGTCATGATTGGTACTAGTTTTGCATCTGATTGGTTGTGAGTGGCACGAGTTTAAAGCGCGGGAAAACGCGGGCGATTACGTCATGATTGGTTTTAGTTTTGCATCTGATTGGTTCAGAGAGTGGAGCGAGTTTTTTTCTGGACCAATCACAGAGCGAAGTAAAGCAAAAACAAGGCAATCCCGGATTACTTTCGACCCTAAATTGATCACTTCTTTTATAAATTGCTTATATATCATTGAAAACATACATCTTTGACGGCTGAAAATAGTTTAAATATTCTGTTCCTGGGGTTAGCCTGAAGTGCTGCCCTCTCAGTCTCCAGTCTGAAAAGCAAGTCAGCCTTATTCCTCTGCAGTGTCTTCACGCGCATGTTGTAATACATCTTCTTCTTAATCACTGTGGTCTGAAAGAGGATACAATATAAGAGATGAAAGCTGCCAGATGGGCCATACCAAACATACTTGTAATTAATATTGCCATATAGCTGATATTTTTCTCCAACAGCGCATGTTCTCATTACTTACTTTGGGGTCACATGACACCTAACAAAAAGTTCTTTCTGTTCAAAAGCTTTTGAGCAGTCCTTCATTAAAAGCGCTTCGACACGAGGGATTTTTCTCCCGCGGGAAAATATGAAGCCTTGAGCCACGCGAGCCCGTGAGAGGTCTGCGAGGGGTCTAGAACTGATTCTTAGTGCCAGACCCCTGGGAAAACCTCCCCTCAACTCGTCTCAAAACTTACCCCAGGGGGAGGAACATTAAAGAAGGCCAAAAGGCTCTGAGTTGACGACATAGCAAAATCCATAACCTCGACCCTCCCACAGTTTGCACGTAAATCAAAGGCATGCAGATAACGAAAGAAAGTAAAAGCCCAGGTGATTTGGTTATGGATGAAGGTGTATAACCAAAGCTTTAGTGATCCTCTTTACTTTTGCTCTTGTAACGCTATTTCCATGTAAAATTTATATCAGATGAACTTAAAAAACGTAACAGATGGGAAGACCATAGAAGTGATTGGGTAAGTCTGGTGGATAACGTCAAACAGCACTCTTGGAGGGGGGGCTTTGGGATTTTCGGTTTTGAGGTTTTGACTGTTTTTTGGATCGGTTTTGAGGTTTTTGGGCCAAAAAGGTTCGGTTTTTCGGTTTTTCGGTTTTGACGTTCAGAGCGGTTTGCGGATTTTACGTGTTCTTGCATTCAGTTTTCGGTTTACACGAAAACTCTGATGCGGTTTTCGGTTTTTCCTTTTTAACCCCTTTAAGGTGAAAATGTAGCGGTTTTGTCAGGTTTGCATGCGGTTTTCGGTTTTGCTGCCGTTTTTCGTCGGTTTTTCGGTTTTGGAGGTTTTTTTCTCCGGTTTTGCGGTTTCCCAGAGGCCCCAATGCCTCCCTCCCCCCTCCTCTTGGTTGACATACCTCAGCCAGTTCCTTCAGTGTTTTATCGTCCACATTATAGGAGTCCACTCTTTTAAGGTTTGGAAGGTGATAGAGGAGGTGTGTTGAGTAGTTGCACATTAAAGCCACCGGGTTGGGTCCATACACAGGGTCTTTCAAACTCAGAGACTCTAAACATGGCAGCTGTGACAAGTTTGTAAGATCCTATACCATGCAATACAAAAAAGCATAACTCAATTGCTTCTGCCACAGCTGCAGAGTTTCTTGCATTGCATTTCATCCTTACTGCCTCGCAATCAACACAGATTATTTGACTTGCATCTGGTAATACAAGGTTGTCATTAGAAAATATAATAGATCTATGATCTAAACAGAACAGGCTGTTGAATTGAATTATGTCAGGGTGGCATGCATAGCGTGTTTCAAAGTAACACGCCCCTCTTGTGGGGGTCTGGGGCATATACTCCCCCCAAAAAAGATTGAAATTTGAAACTCTCAAAAAATTATTTCCAGCTTTCTGGGACACATCGGAGTAACTTTTTTAGCCACACATTGATGCTAGAATCAGTTTAAAATTACTTATTTTCTGTCTTTGATCATAATTCACAAAAGTAGCTAGCACAAAATGGTTTAAAAGCTGGTGGGTTTCTGCCATCTACTGGCTTTTGGCATTAACCCTGTAATATCAAGCATATTGACAAATACCAACTCACACAATAAAACTAATAGGTAAGGGCTCACACTACTTCCCTATACCTGGTCCCAAATACCCCTCCATCCTGGCCTGCTATCCTTTGCCTGTGCCAGGCTCTCTTTTATTGGAAGTGATAGGAAAAGCAGGCTTGTTAAAAAAAAAAACACAGCTGGGGATATGTATTGGAAAAAGTTAGCCATTGTCCTGAAATCCACAAATACACTTTCCCTGTAATTTGGATATATCAACAAGGTTGAAATGGTAAATTGGCCACCGTAACGATTACAAAAGCTGACGTTTCGAGCGTTAGCCCTTCATCGTCCCTGGTCTCCATTGATTGAGGGCCAAGAACAGGCCAAGTTCCCCATCCCCATCAAATAGCCAATAATGCAATTTAATGAAAACAATTCAGGCACACTAACCTTTAAGGATGCAATACAATTTGCTGACATATTCAAAGTTTTAAGATTTAAGTTTCCATCGAGAGAATTCCCTATGAGCAGAGAAAACAGATTGTTATTCATGAGACAAACTGTATATGAGAAGCGAAAATTTTCAACATGAATAAGAAGGAATGGAGGTAAAAATTAAAAAAAAATTTGCTGAGACATTCAATATTTATTAACTGCTCACCAATTTCAGTTATCCTGTTTCCTGCTAAGTTCAGATCAAGAAGATAAAGAAGCTTCTCTAAGCCCTAAATATAAAAGAATACAGTTATGTTACTTCTCTTTTTCTGAAGCATCACAGCAGGCTAGAATCTTAAATTCTTGGACCGCAGGACTGTCACACTGTGAGAGTGAACTTTGTTCCTTTGTTCTAGTTGTTTAGTGATAAGTTGTAATGACATGATATGAGTTTTAGATTTCAAAACCATGTGCAAGTCAAAGAGAGAGATCTAGTGGCTGTAATGATCCTTGTAGCATGGAAATTAAATTGTGAAGTGATTCGGGTCTGTTGGTCATTTTAATGTGAATATTATCAGGAAAATCTCTCGTGTTAGAGGCAATCGGAAGATTCCTGACATGGCTAATCCTACATTGATTTCATAACTATTCCAGCTTTTTACAATGTAGACCATGACTTGGAGTTTTTTTAATTTTTAACCTATAAAAAAAATAAAAAGCAATACACTTAGATGAAGGGGATATTTATATAGAAGAGATAACAACTGTCAAACAAGTAAATGTTGCACTGCAAAGGAAAAAATAATTTTTAATTTCAGTTCTTAACAAGTATGGGATAAGAAAAAAAATCCTGAGCTGGCTACCAACATAACTCAAAAGCTAGATTACACAATTTACACAGTGCCTACTTTCATGTGTCCCTCGGATAACAGAACTCCCTAATAAATTCATACCTCAATTGCAATGATATTATTGTTGTTCAGCCATAACACATTCAGTTGTTCCAGATGAGAAATATTCTCAATCTTTGTAATCTTGTTATCATACAATAACAGCTTTTTCAACTTCTTACAGCCATCAAGTCCTGAGATGGCCTAGCAGAAGAGAAATACATAAAATTTTATATAAATTGATTAAATATTTGCTTGGTTACTAAATGATGATGACCTCACACATATAATGAACCACATTTTAAATAACAGCATGAGCTTAAGCAGTTGCCTTGCAGACACCTACAATAAATCCAAATTTATCTTGCTGCCAGCATGTGGCTTCGCAGCTCAGTTGATAGTAGCCTCCAAATAGTATCTGAGGGGGTATAGGTTCGATTCCCACTGAAGCCTGAATTTTTTCAGGCTTCTTTTCTCCAATTGCTAAAATTAATGCTCATCTGTGAGAAACATGGCTTTACTTGAAGTTCAATGGACAGGTCAAATGAAATTTATAATTTTCATTACAAATTGGAGTCCCACATTTTGCAAGTAAACAAATGCACTATTGTGATTATGGACCTGAAGAAGTCAGGACAGCAATGCCAAAGAAGACATCAGTGAACAAATGAATTTACATTTTTAGTTAGAATTTTGCAAATGGCTGAATGTGGTTATTTTCTCTTACAGTGCCACACCTCAACTTCACCATAATATATGCGAGCAGCATTTAGCTCCAAATTGAAACTTACATAATTTTCTGTCAGCGTTTCTGCTTTAGATCTTGCAAATTTTGGCCAATTCATGCTGTCGTTTTGCAGAGGAAGGCCAAGAAGGGCACAAGGTCTTAAAACAAATGTGCTTGGCTATTTTTCTGCTCACTAGATCGTTTGTTTTGCCCTGTCATCATCCCCATTGTCATGGTGGTTTGCTCAAGGTCTTAATTATTATGAGACTGCAAACATGACATGTACTTACAGTTATCTTGCTTTCAGACACGCATAACTCTGTAAGGTTTGGCAAGCAGTCCAGATTCTCCAGTGTCGTAATCTGTTGTCCCATCAGAGTAAGATTTTGAAGATCTGGGAAGTTCTCCATGCCAATAATCTTAGGAAATCCAGAAAAGAACATCTCCAAACTTTTGACATTCTTTCCTGCTCCTTTCTGAAGTTTTTCAAATTTGACTCCATTTACTGTGCACTATAAGAAAAAATGAGTATTGCACTGACCAAGACATACTTTCTCCTAACAATATCAATACAATCTTCTGCAGATAAGTGATGAGAAAATAGGAAATATCCCTCAAAGGATTGCCATTTGATCCAACAGTTAACTCTCAGAACTAAAACTACCTGTAATATGTGGCAGATGGTAAGGAGAATTACATTAAAGATCTTGCGAGTAGAAGGAATAAGAAAAAGCTTATTTTGAATCAAGGTTGATAGAGATTCACTTTATGTTTTGTGCCATGAGAATGACAAATTTCAGACACCCTTCAGCATAGGGGAAAGCTAGGTAATCTGGAAGACTCCAAGCTAAATTCTACAGCACAATCGGATAGAACAAACTGAAATAGTAAAGTAATAATAATAATGATAACAACTATAATATTAAATAGGGGAACCCAACCTGCAGGGCTCGACACTAACGGTAGCCCACTAGCCACAGACTAGTAGAAATTCAGTTTTGGCTTGTGGTTTTCCATTTCCATCAGCCAGTTTGGCTAGTAAACAAACTGAAATTGTCATTATAACATCTAAGATGTCACTAGCTACTGGCTAGTAAGTTGAAAAGTTAGTGTCAAGCGCTGACCTACCTTGGCAGTTTTCAGTGAGACCCTCAATGATTAATTAACCACCTAGTTGATTAATATGTAATGAAACAAAATTTAATATCGATAAAAAGTAACATATTCATGTATTCCTAATATCTAGAGAAAATCAAAATCTTTAGATACAAAAATGAATAAAAGTATCATAGTATAAATTACTTGAAGTTAGTTAAAATTGTTTAAAAATGTTTTCAGTTTCGGATTAAAAACAGATAAAAACTCTGTTCCTTTAAATCAATCAGAGGGCTGTCCAGTATTAATGTTTATAGGCAAAATTATTTAGTAGAAACATTTTACCAAATATAAGGAATTCTTCACATACCATGTACCATAAGTTTGCCCATTGCTGGGCTGTTACAATTTTTGAACACATGGACATACTGGTATCTTGGTTTGTGTGATGAAGTTTTGAAATATTTTGAAATAACAATTAGATCTAAAGGCAGCATGGTGCTGGAAAATAAAGAAACAAATTGGGTTCCACTCTGTAAGCAATTGTAATTATTGTTCAGAGAAACAATACATCCTCAACAAAAGACAAAATATTTGCACCAGAAAAAAAAAGTTTTTCTGATTATTTACATAAATGTAGAACAAAACTACAAAGAAGTTCAAGATAATTCAAAGAAAAAAATTCTTAAGAATTAGCATTATTCATAAACAAATACTTTTTTAAGTGGTTTGCAGGACCAAAATAGAATGTTTTTGTTCTTAAGTATTCTAAAATATGTCCACTCAATGGATATTTTAGTTGTACACCATACTGAGAATATATCAGAAACAAATTAAAAATGTATCATCTCACTGTAACTAACATTTTTAACAGTATGATCAGTGTAACAGAGTAAATTTCAAACAAAGGACAATTTCCTTTATTCCACTTTAAAACTACAAAATTAATGTTATTATTTAAGAAAGAGAAAAATAAATAAATACAAAAGTGAAAGAAATACCCAGCTGTATGTAGCAAAACTAATTGATAACATGGAACAGAATGGAAAAACCAAGTACAGTAACTATATCCAGTTAAATTGATTCGACAAAACTATCATGATTCGATATGTTTTTCCACAGTCCTTCTTCTCAGATTACTGGTAAAATCTACTGCCTGCGTTACCATTAGTATAATTATTGTCTAAAATTGCTCTGAATTCTCAGAAATTCAACACTCAGGTAAAAGGATTCCTTTATAATTGGTTTCAATTTTTTTATTTACCTGTCTTGATTAAAATAAGGGAGAACACTGTTTTTCATATTCACAGAGGAATCAAAACATTGAACAAGGGAGAATGTAAGTCAGGCTGGTTCTAAAGACATGTTCTTAAAAAAAAAAAAAAAAAAGCTGTACAGTGTACAATAATGCATTTTGTTTTGATAAATTACTTAATATGATATAAACAATGTGAAGATATAAATAGAGAAGGATACAAAATATCTTTTTCTTTACTTAATGTCACAATCAAGTTTTTACTTATAAATCCTCTAATAAGCCCCAGTGGGGGCTTATCAATTTAGAACTCAATAAAGAACTCAATTTTATGATCTACCTCTCTCAGTGCACCTTGTTTAGCCATGTTATAATTTAGCATTGCTCTGTAACTTCCGTATAATGTATTCTATCGATGCTAACATGATTAAGTTAATCAATCAATCACCATAATCAATTTTCAATGAAAAACTAAAATTACAGTTACTGTACTTGAATAAATTTATCATACTTACCGACAAGGAGTGTTGTTTTGACTTTTTGTTTTTTGAGGGGGAGGGGGAGGGGTTGGGGGGCTTAATAGAGAGGGGCTTAATAAATTTCTTGCTCTAGAGGGGGGGGGGGAATGAGATGCTAATTATTCCTAGGAGTCACAGAGTTATGGAAAGATATTATTCATTGATCACAATAGGGAAAAGCAAAGTCTCCTAAGAGAAAAAACACCTCAGATGTCCAGATTTTTCTCTGCAATTCTCTATCGCCAAGCCACAGAGACCCTTCAGGTAAATTAAGCCATTATCGAGTTCAAAATTGATGTCACAGGTGTCCTACCTCAATGTTGACAGCCTTGTGTGGCAATATACAAATTACAAATGTCTTTCAGGTCCATGCTTGTCAAATAATGAAGAACATCTTGCCTCCTCTAATGACTGACTCACAATTTACCATCTTTTTAAGTGTGTACTCTAACACCTAATTTCTACTTACAATATCACCCCTGAATCACACATTAAGGTCAGGAGAATAAAAGAAATGATCACCAACTACAGATGTTCATGATTGTTAAACAAATTCTCCTTATCAGCACTTAAGGAAATGTAAAGAGAACAGTATGGAGAATATGCTTACTGATATTAGGGTGTAAAGGTTAAATATTTTTGGGCCCAATTTTATTTGTGCATAGCATTAGTGCAGTGATGCTAAACAAAATAAAATCAGTTACCAGTTCACGAAGTGGAGTTTTGTTTTTGGCCTTTTTCACTCCTTTACTGCTTGCCTGAATTGCTCGTTTCTTTTTTAAAAGAACAAAACAAAATGGTAGACACATCAAAGCAAAACATTACCCACCCACATAAGAAAAAAATTTGCAGAGCACATAACATCACATCATTTGCTAGCCCGTAAGAAAGCCCTCCTCATTAGCCCTGCAGAATGCATGTTTCTCCACCCACAGGAAGATTTAAGAGAAGTCCAGGCAAAGACTTGCCATGACAGACCTCTCCTCTCTTCTACATGGACCTTCTCACCCCCCCCCTGCTTTGTTGAATGATACTGTGAAATAAATCCACCTATCAGTGGTTAATGCCCCAGGATGAAGGGGCAAGCTACCCATGAGAAATTGACAGAGAAGACCTCCTGTAAATGGAGATTTTGACATTTATCCACTGCCTCAGGGAAGAGAATTTGACCTAGCCACCATTTTGGAAGACCCAGTGACTTTTGGAAACCTGAAAATGTCAAATTCCTCTGAATTGACTCCCTCCCCTTCCCATCTTGGCACAAACCATTTACTGGTGTACAATTTCTCACCACTCTAGCAACACATTTAAGAGGCAATGGAAAATGGAGAGCATAAAGGATGAGAGACAAGGGTACAGGGGAACCCTGGGGGGGGGGGGGCACTCCCTTATTAGGACTTAATGGGGACGTGCAGCCAGCCAGGGTATGTTTTTTGAGATTTTTGTCTTAAACAAGGTATCGAATTTATCATTTTTTGTCTTAATCAGGGTATCAGTTTATCAATTTTTGTCTTAAACAGGATATCTTTTCTTGGAAGATAAACAGCAAAACTTTTACAAGCTCTAATTTTAATTAATATTGAATTCCGTTGATTTTGGCATTGATACCAGGCACATTAAATGTCTTAAACAGGGTATCAAAAATTGGAATTCTGTCTTAAACAGGGTAGGAAAATCAGCAATATTTGTCTTAAACAGGGTCAGGGTATGAGGGGCCGCGCCGCACCTCCCCACCCGGGAATATATCGAGTACCCCCCGGGAGTGGAACCTTGATTTAACAAACCTCTATATGACAAAATCTTCGGTATAAAGAACAATACCTAAGTTTCAGCCCGGCTAAAGTTACAGTAAAATGTATGCCACAGAACCTCGATATAACGAACCCTCGATATAACGAACCCTCGACATAACAAAACCAATTTCCCCAGTCCCTTGACACTTAAATCAAGGTTCCACTGTAAGTTGCATACAGAAGATTTTTCATTTTGACAAAACTTCTTGGCCAGCTGAAAAATCTCAATGACAAACTGATCACCTTTAATTATAACAGTTTGTATTAGTATAAGGGCATAAATTATAATTTTTTTTTCTTAAATTTTACTGAAGTTAATCAAGACAAAACTACTTTGCAAACTGGAAAATCTTAATGACTAACTGATCACCTTCTTTAATTATGACAGTTTCCATTACTAACAGTGCATATATTATATTTTTTTGCATTACATTTTAGGTGATCAATGACGAACTGATCACCTTCTTTAATTATGACAGCTTGTATTACTAATGGATTATAACACGTATTTTTGTGTTACATTTCTATGTGATTAATTACCTATGATCATTTAATAGTGTGCATTTGATCATTGCTTAATTGCACTAAAGAAGCTTGTGAATAATTACATTATGTGCAAAATCTGATTTAATAGATCGATGCAATCGAAATTTAGAGCAGCAGGAAAATAGTGCAAGGGACGGTTAAAAAAGGATTTAAATATCTGGTTATTCTATTGTGATCACTGCAAGTCAACGTTCAATTGTGTGGAACAAGATATTTAAATTTTAATGCAGAGCTGTCCGCAGCTTCGTAAACAACTGTTGTTTGCGATGTTTATTGATCTTTCGATCAAAACATCACAAAGCATCACCCAAGAAAAACCCAAGACATGTATTAAAATAGAACACAACCCCATCGAGAATTAGCCACAAGACCTGGCCACATCTGTGAGAAAAGTTCACAAATTCCCATCACAGCAGTATTCAATGTTCGAACTTTGTCAAAACTTACCAATTCTCTTAATGATTCCTCATCTTCGCCCGATGAGGCCGAATCCGCTTTTTCTTCTCTGGAACCCATCATTTTACTGACGTGTTAACATTCGTTTTCACGAGTAAAAAGATGTTGCAGGAGGTTCTTTCCGCACCTGAAGAGAATTTGCGCAATGCCAGCGCCATATTTTCTCGAAGACTCAAAATGGGTTAATCTGATTGGCTTACAGTTGCTCTAGAAACTATCCCGTCCCAGGTTTTGCTCGGGATTCCCGACATTTGACAAATTCCTTCTGCTAACCACCATGACATTGTCATTTCTTACTCGTATAGCCCGGCAGCGCGCTCTCAAAATTCCTTCTCTAATAGCTGCAGCCAGGAGGTTTAGTAGCGCTAGCAGTCTTGTCGAGACTGAGCAAGATGGACAAATCTTCCATGTATCGATTGCACGACCCGAAAAGCGAAACGCGGTTGATGCGGAGACCGCAAAAGAGCTCGCCGAGGCGTTCCGACAATTCGAGATCGACGATGAAAGTTCAGTGGCTGTGTTGTATGGGAAGGGAGATACGTTTTGTGCAGGATACGACTTAAAATATCTATCTTCCAGGGGTCCTGATGAGTTCCTAAGATCGTTTTCCCCCCCTGGAGAAGGAGATAGTCCCATGGTACGTTTTTTTTTTTGTCAATGTTTACGTTTTTCCAGGCACTGAAAATACGAAAATATAAAATAAAAATTATTTGAAATTAGGTGAAAAAAACTTGGCACCATGTTGGTATTTGCAAAATTCCATTACTCTTAGTTCTCTAAATGAAAGACTTTTCCTTTCTAGTTTGTTTTTCAGTGCCTACTTGATATCTTGTTCAGAAGCGCAGAACCAGGGGGGGGTGTGACGAAGGCACGGCGGATCAGGAGGCGGGAATCTTGAAATTTTTGTTAGTATTGGAATAATCCGGGTAGTTTCTTGCAAGCTTTCCTTCATCTGGTGAAAAACGCAAGAGAATGGATCCGCTGAAAAAAATTTAGCTATGAAACATTGCAATAAAAAACCCCCTCAAGACCATCTTATGCCAATTATCAATACAAATTACTAAGTATTTGTGAGGAAAAGTATAAGGCATTGTGCAATGCAAGTTGGCAAGAGGCACAGTGCAACTGATAACAGATATCTTTTTATTCTCTGTCCAGGGCCCAACTCGATTGAAACTTACGAAACCAGTCATTGGTGCCATCGAGGGACATGCAGTTGCAGGAGGAATGGAGTTGGCACTTATGTGTGATCTCAGAGTTGTTGCAGAAGATGCAGTCATGGGAATGTTTAACAGGAGATTTGGTAATTAGTTTTATTCGACAATAACATCATTTTACCATATAGGGACACTGAGGCACATGAAGCCTGGTAGAGTTAAAATATCACATCTTGGGTTTATTGTGCCACAAACACAGTTGGCTTTCTTTCACGGCCCTCCAAATAATCAAGTCATTCTTGATTATAATTATTAAAGCAAAATCCTTTTGCTACATAATAAATACTTAATTGACCAAGTATGTTTGGTCAAGATGGTGGACATTAGCCTGTCTCTCTTAATCTGCATTTCCATAGACCATAACTTCATCTTGGTCCATAAAAACACAAAAAAAAGTAGGCCAATATCCAGCCATCTCCACCTTACTCTTGGTCAATAACACATTTATATTGTATAAAGTTGTCAGGGAAACCTGATGAAATTCTGAGGGGTAACCTGTGATGAACTGGCATCCCATTGGGGGGAGGGGTAGCAATACTCCTAGCCCTGTCATGCGACATGGAAACCCAGGCTGAATGGACTGATAGGCTCTAGTACAGACCTAACCTTTTTACTTTGATGAAACAGCTTAATTAATTTGTGATATTATGATTGTACAAAGGTGTCCCTTCTGTGGATGGAGGTACAGTACGGCTACCTTACATCGTTGGTCTTTCACGTGCATTAGACCTGATCATGACAGGACGTGCTGTGCACGCAGAGGAAGCTTTTAGCATTGGTCTTGCCAACAGAGTTGTTCCTAAAGGGAAAACAGTTGAAGAAGCCCTCAAACTTGCAAGAATGTTGGTTCGGTTTCCAAGAGAAGCACTTTATGCAGATCGCAAATCTGTGTTCTATGCCACATTTAATGCAGATTCGTTTTATGATGCCCTCACATATGAATACTCCAAGGGGGTGAAGCTACAAATCATGAAAGATTCCATTGAGGGAGCAAAGCAGTTTTTAATGGGGAAAGGCCGTAAGGGTTCATTTGACGACTACTTGGAATAAAATCAATTGTTCACTTTAATTTATGAACAAAGGCTCAAAGGCACAAGTGTATGTATACTAGGTGTCTTTCATAGGTAATTACCATCTTTTCAATCAAAGTAAGATCGTTTTGATTATTTGTTGTTTTCTTTTCCAATTGTGCGGTTCATTGCACACTTGGCTTTCATGTGCATTAATTGATGCAGTGCCCTGGACATGTGACTTAGTGTGGCCATAAAGAGGTGGAGGTAGTAGAATCAAAACTTGAAACGTTCAAAATGTGCCAACAGGTCAGTCTTGGCTTCGTAGCTTTGTCACATGAAAGTGAATTAAAACTACCATTAGTTCAAATTAAAATCTAGAATGCCATCTAGAATGCCATCTAGAATGCCATCTAGAATGCCATCCAGAGGGCTTTATGTCCTTCATGCAAAAAAAAAACTTACCATATCGACTCACCTGCTTCATTAAAGTGGATTGTATGGATGTTATCAGGAGAAGTTCTAAGGTTAATCCCAATCCCACCAAATGCACAACATTTTGTAAGTATGCTTCTTTAATTTCGCATAAAAAACTAATAAAAAAATCAGATTAAAATCATGCACAACAACTGTGAACAATGTTTAATATGACATATTAAGTTAAAACCCTTTAACTCCCATTTGAGTGATCAAGACAGAATTTCTCCTTACAAAATCAATACAATATCAAGCAGAAAATTGATGAGAATAAAAAAAGGATCAATCAGGGGATTGTTAGTTGATCCAATACCAAATTCTCTGAACCAACATCATAAGAATTGTATGTCAGACTGTAAGGAGATTTACAAATGAGATCTCGGGAGTGAAAGGGTTTTAAATGGCAACTACCTATAATAGCAGCCCCACTAAAATGTAAAACTTGATACTATGATGTCACTGTTTAAGAATTCTCCATAGAGTTGAGAAAATATATTTTTAGTTAAGGAGTCAACATATAGCTTCACGGACTTCCAGGACTTCATCCTCAAATGTGTTGCCATTACCATCCAAACTCCTTCAACTATACAATAAAAATACTACATGCAATTTTTTTTTAAATGTCAGTATTAGCATTTGTGACTCAAAGCTACTTTGTCATCCTGGACAGCAGCAAATCTTTTCAGACGCTTGCCAGACTTTTTGCTGCTCAATTTCATTCTTTTCCTTCGGGTTGATGCAGCATCTGAAGCTAACTTGTGACGAGAATCTTTCTTAACACATTGTTTGAAGGGCAAAGTATTGGTGCCAACAGAGAAAAAACGTGCCTCAGTGGTTGCTTCATTTAAGAGTTTGTTTTGATCTGCAGGTTTGCCTATTTTCTCTTTGACAAGACTTCTACCACTATAAGTACTAGAACCACTCACTTTCTTACTTTGTATGTCTTTGTGGGAACATGAACTCATAGACACTTTGGATGGTGATGGAGACTGGTAAATGTGACGTGCTACAGAATTACAGCAATCAAGATCACAATTCTGCCCACATTTGTCATTTCCAACAGGACATGACTTTTTCACAACTTTAGTGATGCAACAAAAATCTTCATCAATCTCATCCTTGTTCTCTGACACTGACAAATTCTCTACTGAAGTGGACTCTCGTCCTTCAGTCTTTCCAGAAATGATGCAAGATTCTGCTTCAACAGAATCTCTGACTGCTTTTGAAGTTGTCAAGGACAAATCCTGTTTTACTTCTTGGAAACCTGCTCTTCTCTGCAACTTACCAGCCGATCTGCCGACATTTATTTCACTGTTGAAATGTTTCTCATCTGTTTTCACTGCCTTCACAAACTCTATACTTGCCTCTGATGAGCAATCAGATTCTACTGATTCATTAAGAATTGGTTCAAAGTCACTTTGAATATTTTCTCTTGTTGTCCCTGTGATTAAACCAGAGAGTGTAAGAAGAAGACTAGTTGTCATAGATGAGGTTGAAGCAAAAATGTCACCAAGATGAAGGCCACTACACTCAGGGGTTTCTTGAGGTTTATTTGTATGGTCTTCTTTCAGTTCAGTTGTTTCATCTTCATCATCTGATCTTTGAAGGGAAACTCTAGCACGTTTCCTCATAGGAGATGCTACTGCTTTAGGCCTCTTCACAACATTATCTACACATAGAGGTGTCTCTCCTCTGCAGTTTAGCTCATTTCTAATCTCAGCCAAAGGAACTTCATCATCTGACACAGAACACACATTGACATCACAGTCTTCTGTTGGTGATTCCCTGTCATCATCATCATCATCATCATCGCTGCTTAAATAGTTCATGGAACGATCCCCTATTTGTCTTTGCCGTGTTCTTGGTTGAGACTTTTTGTCTCCACATACATCACAGTGCCATTCCCCTGGGGATTTCTTCCAGCGTTGACACTTCAGATGGGTGCCAGTTTGGCCACAGATGTCACACAAGCGTATGCGCCATTTTCTGAAATTAGGACAACAATACTATAGCTGTATTGAACCTTCTCAGCTAAAAACAATTCCACAACCACCACAAGTTTAAAACAGTTTTGGCACCTAAATTTTCAGCGAATTTCCTCTAATAGTTGGCAACCTGGTTTTGGTGGGAAAGTCCCAGGCTTTAACAATACAAGTTTGTGAACTTAAGTTAAAAGTGAACGAATCTTAAAAAACAATTGGCTGCCACTTTACAACTACACTGCTTATATATTTCAAATGCATGAAGGCTGATAGTTTCGAAAGAAACTGTTTGGGGCTGCGTCGGTGGGAGTAACGAAATGATTTGGATATATCAACAAAGTTGAAATGGTAAATTGGCCACCGTAACGATTACAAAAACTGACGTTTCGAGCGTTAGCCCTTCGTTGGAGCGAATAGAGGAATTGTGGGTTGTGTATGCTTTCCACCAATAACATAGCTCCATTTTCTGCCTTTAAAAGCACACACGACCTACAATTCCTCTATTTGCTCCGACAAAGGGCTAATGCTCAAAACGTCAGCTTTTGTAATCGTTACGGTGGCCAATTTACCATTTCAACTTTGTTGATATATCCAAATTATTATATATTTCAAAGATAAGCAATGTGTCAAGCAACTGTATACCTAACCCCAAAAAAGTCAACTGATAACAACTTAGGGTTTAAGATATCTTAAGGTGGGTATGCATATGTTCAGGTATTGACACCAATCACCTTAGAAAAAGGACTTATCCAATGGGCCTTGTCTTCACTCTTTTCAATTAAAGTTTCTAACCAAAGTAGAGTTTCCAAAGTATAATCAAGGCTCAACACTAACTTTTCAACTTACTAGCCAAGTGGCTAGTTACAACTTAGATGTTACAACAATTTCAGTTTGTTTACTAACCAAACTGGCTTGTGAAAATCAAAAACCACCAGCCAAAACTGAATTTCTACTAGTCTGTAGCTAGTTGGCTACCATTAGTGTCAAGCTCTGTAAAATACACCACCTAAATATAGACATTTAGTGTTTTATACCCTGACGTTTCCTTGTGCTCTCTGCCGTTTTGACAGACACACTTCTTTGCATCACAGCGACTGTATTGAAAAAGAAGGTCAGCAAAAGCGTCTTCTTTTTCCCAACTGGCATCCCTGTAATAGAAAATTACAAAAAGACACTTCATCAGTTTCCAACAACAATGGGAGATAAAGAGGCCTAACCCTTAAGCCCTAAGAGTGACCAGCCTGTAATTTCTCCTTACAATATCACCCCCGAGTCAAACATTATGGTCATGAAAATAAAGAAAATGATCACTCATTAAAAAAGCTCTTGATTGTTCAACAAATTCTCCTTGTCAATATCTTAAAAAAATATATAGAGAACAGTATGGAGAAAATGCATACTGATGTTAAGGTGTTTAGGGTTAATTTTAAAGGGTCTAACACTCAGTCTATAAATTAGGAGTCTATTACATAAAACAAACCATTCTGTACTCTAATATTATTTACATTAATGTTCACTCCTCTGACATTAAATTAATCTATGATAATTTTAACCCTTTCATTACTAAGATCTTAGTAGTAATTCTCCTTACAGCCCATCATTCAATTCTCTTGGAGTTTCTTAGGAGAATTTGGTCTTGGATCAACTAAAAATCTGCTAATTTACATTTTTCTACATTCTCATCAGTTGTTGGCTTGATAATGTATTGATGTTGTAGGCAACATTCTCTCTCAGTGAGTCATTAGAGTTACTCTATTGAGCCCCTTTAATAAGCCTTCAGTTTGACCTTGTTGAGCTGCATCATTGCTTTACTTTGTGACGGCAATTAGCAGTGAAAATTATTATTATTATTTTTATTATTATTAATAAGCCAACCCCCTCTCCCTCTTTAGAGAAAGAAATTAAGCCCCCCCACCCCTCCCCCTCAAAAAACAAAAATTCAAAATAACACTCCATGTCAGTAAGTACAATAAATTTATTCAAGTGCTGTAAATCATATCCTATTGTATCCTGGAAGTGAACATCAGGCTAAATTAATAAGCCCCCCCTCTATTAAGCACCCCCCAAAGAACCTGAAATAATTAAGCCCCCTGGGTGGCTTCTTAGAGGATTTACGGAAATTAAAAGATTCACTAAACTTACTGTTCAGGTATAAAAATTCCCATTCTCTTCATTTCTTCTTGAAATTCTTCCAAATTGTTGCAAACTGGGCAACGGAAGTAATATGACCCACTCGAGTTTGCATATTTCTATGGGAAAAATTCAAAAGCTATGTAAGCATCATAAATTGAACAAAACTTTCCCCCAGAGAGGTTCTAAGTTGCAGATATGATACAGGGTGGTAAAATGGCTGAATATATTCAAAAGACAATTGTAAAATGATAAGTTTTTTTCCTTAGCAGCAATCTGAACTTCCCTCTCATCCAGCTTTTTAGAGATAGATTTTTTTTTTCTGATCAGTAATTCTGCTGAGATCATTTGAATATCAGAGTACCTTGGTGGCCTGCTCAATTGTTGGGGTGCAAATAAAATGAGAGAAAAGTGAAGTTTTAATACTAAGTTGAGAGAAGAACAAATGGAAAAAAATGATCTTTTTCTTTACCTGAAGACAGTTGTTGTGAAACCACGTCATTCTACAGCAAGGTGTAACAAGAGGGATAACAGCGATTGGTATCTTACTCTTATGTCCTATTTCACACCTACAGATTGGACAAGTTTGGTTTTTTTGTAATGCCACATCCTGGGTTGGGCGGTGAAGCCGACAAAAAGAACTGTGGCTAAATACAAGGAGAGTAAAAATATATGGTTACACAGATTAAAATGGTTTCAATCTAAACCAACATTTACATTAACTGCATTAATCTGATTAAATGCTGCAGTGTTTCTCAAATTTTTGGCCTTCTGGTAGAGAGTTCTTACAAAATAAAATGTGTCATTTGACCACTTTTAATGGGCCTTCATGTTTGACAGTCGACAACCCACAGCTCTTAACATACAGTTACCTTTGGATACAAGGAAGGTAGGTCATGACAACACTGTAATTTTAAGGCCAAATTCCTGTCATCAAAGTTTTTCTAGGTCTCACTTGATAAATAATTGTAATAAGGCTACTAGAAATTAGCCCATGACAAATAAACAAGTGGACATTATAAAAAATGAAAATCAACTCACTTAAAGGTATCAAAGAATTGAAACAGAGCTCCATTTTCTTTCCCACATTTATAATGAAAAGTTTCACGACATCCACCCTTACAACAGCCAATGGAGGCACCCAGCTTCTTGCAGAAACTGCATCTCTGCATAGAAATGAGCCAAAATACACAATGCCATGAAAAAAATGTATGTAGTTATTAGAAAATATAAGGTAATTCATCAGAAGGAGCTTAGCAGGATCTTATGGTCAGTGGTCAATCCCACAAGTAAAGGCTCACATAGAATACTGCAGAGTAAGTGACAGTATTATACTATAAGCAGCATCTATATATTTTTTCTTATTTTGTTGGTGTGATTTTCAGGAGATTGTATAGCTCTGCAGTTCTGATAACAACTCCAACTCTGTCATAAGTGAGAACAAGGCTTGAGACACCTTTGAAATTTCATTTCTTTTTTTTTTACTAACCAGCCTTTTTGCTCTTGTTATTTCCTTCTTTATGTCCTTAATTAGAAATCCATCAAATTCTTCATCCTCTTTTCCTTTCTGAGCCAGTCCTGAAGAAAGAAACTGCACAGAAAATAATTCATCAAAGCAAAAGACTAGACTTTCTCTTGGTTTACTGGTGAAATAACTCATGCCAAGAAAAGTTTATGAATCATGAGCTGGAGGTGGGCGGATTACAAACTTTACTCGTGTTCCCAATATCTTGAGTGTTAGAGCGACATGATTGCTTTTCAAGGCAAAAAAAAAGCACTGAATTGCAAGTTAACAAAATATAAACATGTAAAGGAATCATTCCTTACCATACAATACTGGTGAACTGAAAAACCAGTACTTGCATCTCTGAAAAATTTTCCAAAAATGTCTTCATCTGGTCCTTTGGAACACAGCCTGCACACATCATTGTCTCCTGGTAACGATAAATCACATTTAAATAACACAAACTTTAGCCTTGATAATTATCGTTATCATACTCAACCTCATTCAAAAATTATTAATTACTGTGCAGACGAATGGGATGCAGTTCACTCTTGGGGTTTACCCATTAACCCTATCACTCTCATAAGTGACCAAGACAGAATTTCTCTTTACAATATCAATACAATATCATGCAGACAAGTAATGAGATTTAAGCAAAATATCAATCAGTGGATTACTAATTGATCCAACACCAAATTCTCCACACTTAGATCATCAGAATTGTATGGCAGACAGTGACTAACATGTAATTTCTCCCTATCCTATTCATACAATACCCAGTAAATGGGTCATGAGAATACTCAAATTTATCAGGTAGTTGTTATCTTGATTCAACAACAAATTCTCAAAACTGATTTACAAGGAAATGTGTAGCAGCTAGAGGGGAGAATTAAAAATCAGATCTTGGGAGTCAAAGGGTGAAAGTGTTAAATCACTTTTCCTCATGACCTTAAAACAATAGCAAATGGAAATGAAATGATAATTAACAACAACAGAAAGATTTCTGTATAATCCCGCATTATTCTAAAACAAACCTGTAATCCCCAAGACAACCTATTGAGTCACCTTTGTTTTCTTTATCCAGGAATAGCAGGGTTCAACACTAACAGTAGCCCACTAGCCACAGACTAGTAGAAATTCAGTTTTGGTTGGTGGTTTTCGATTTCGACTACCAAGTTTGGCTAGTAGACAAACTGAAATTTTCGTAACACCTAAGATGTCACTAGCCACTTGGCTAGGAAGTTAAAAAGTTAGTGTCGAGCCCTGAACGGTAAGCATAATGAATTGTGGAGCTGTGCAGAAATCTTGCCAACATACATACATAAACTTTATTCATACTCGAATTTTAGTTAACGAGGAGGTAACATCTTCGAGCCAACAATACTTGGATAATACGTGTAAGTATGTTGGGCAGATGTAACACCAATTTCTTAAGGGTATCAGAAATACTTAAGTATGCATCTCTGAGTCTTTTGTGTCAAGGATGAGGTCTTACTTAATTATCAGAGGAGAAATCCAAATTCAGGCGCCAAAGTTGTCAAAGTTATGATAGAATTTTCGAACCCAGACTACAACAATACACAGCTTTAGCTTCTTTTAAATATACACTCGAATCAAGCGAAGAGATCTTAGGAAACTAGTTTCTTCTGAGAAAAATCTTGATCAAAACTCAAAAGCTATGCAGATCGAAGTTAATAGAGATTTCTAGATTAAACAAATGAGAAGGACTTCATTCATTACTGTACATGTGTACGCGTGCTCGATCAAATACCAAGATCTATTTTCAAGCGATACCGATACACTATACCCCATTTCTTTTGCAGAGAAAACTGACGTAAGTGTCTAACCTTCTTTAAATTCTCTCTCTTTTCCACCCTTGCGTCGTCGCATCACAAAAGCAGAGAAAATGTGCAAACGAATTTAATCTACTGCATGCAATCTTCCGCCCCAGCTTGTAATGTCTTCATATTCACCTTATTCAAAGGTAACGGAATCTCGCCCCATGCCGTCGCTCTGATAGCTAATGATAGGCACGTCTAGCGTGCGAAGTGTATTTCTCAGTTAGACTGCTTAGTCGTGATTTGATAAAAATCATCAAAAATAAAGATTAAAGGAACTATTTTTACAGCCATTTTTAATTTTAAGTATTAGTTCTGAGAAAAATAACAGTTTTCTAGGGTAAGCGAGTAACAAAGAGTGAACTGACCTTTTAAAGGTTGTGTGTAAAAAAAGGAAATGCTGAAAATTGACCGGGATGGTATATCTCGGGTTCCCCTTGAACTCTAAAACGTCAGGGGTATTCTCAGAGTTCACGAGGGCGCAGGGTTATTAATCCTCTATTTAAATCTGTCGAAAATTTCGAGACTTACTGTAGTTGTCTTTCATAACTTTGATCCTAACTTTATTTCACCAGCAGATAAATTGTAATTACCGTGATATCTTGTGGGTGTGATGCAAGGACAGCTGAAGTAACCACTCCCCCTTCCAAAATTGACGAACTGGCCACTTACCATAGTTTAATCATGACCATGATCTTCCTCATTTATTAGCCACTTCATAACTAATATTTATACAGTTTTAACAATATGGTAAGGTAAGGAGACCTCCCATACACCACCAGGCTTATGTGGGAGGCGTTTGTGGATGTGCAGCTTTGCCAATGCATTCATCTTCTTTTTTTTTTTTTTTTTTCAAATGTACAGAAGTTAGCTGAATTAGTGATCGCACAGCTGGGAGAGGTTTCTAAATATCAGGTACTTGGTAGACTATTGTAAATTGTTTAAGATTAGTGCCTCACAGTAAAGTGGTCGATAAAAACTGTCTATTCTTGTGTCATAACTGTGAATTTGACTACTTGCAGGAAACAAACTGAGAAACCTCAATCAATGCTAAGGCGTTAAAATGCAGGACAACTAGAAAACTATGCAAAAAAATAATTGAGAAAGTTGATCTCCGGTATAAAACTCAGAAATATGGCTTTCTATTTTACCTGGAGTGTCAAGCAGTCTTAAATCAAAGCTTTTTACTCTTTCTGCTTTATGAATGTCTTTTAGATAATTGCACTTTCAACCGTATGCTACGCGATGCAGAGTCAGGCTATAAACTATATTGACTGGGGCGTTCAGAGAGCTAAGTAAGATACGAAATTCTTTTTTAATTGTTATTTCAATCTTTCTTTTTTCTTCTCAAAATTGCGATTCTCAACGATCACTTCTGAAACATTTGCAACTTTTTCAGGGGTCTGGAGAAATCATGGCTAGACGATTTAAATACAAAAATTAAACATAAATCTCAATTCTTTCCCCTTCTCCCAACATGGTGACTTCAGTGTCTTTCATTTTTCCTTCATCATTCTGTGTCCCATTGTTTTGTTTTTCCTTCTCTTTTTGTTTGTTCGCCGGACCACTTCCCTTAAGCTTGTACATCTCCTCAAAGTGTGACAGCAAGACAGGGGTAGGGAAACAAAACAGAACAACTATCCCGGATACAGCACATATGGCTCCAATTAATTTACCCGGCGCACCTTTCGGTACCTTGTCCCCATAACCCACTGCGGTCATGGTGATAATCGTCCACCAAAAGGCGTCTGGGATGCTATCAAAGTCATTGTCCTTCGCGTCATTTTCAACGTAGTATATAACGCTCGAAAAGAGAATCACATTGATAATCATAACTGCTAATAGCGATGGCAAGTCTTTTCCACTCATAACTAATGTCTGGGCAAGAACTTTCAAGCCTTTGCTGTAGCGAGAAAGCTTTAGGACTCGTAACACTCTGATGAGGCGAATTATCCTTAAAACCGGAAATGAAGTAATCAGGACACCATCAGCTTCGAAGATAAGAGTGATGTAAAATGGCAAAATGGCTAAAAAGTCGACTAAACCCAAAGCGGAAGTCATAAATTTGACTCGATTTGGAGCAGCAAATAGTCGTAAAACGTATTCAAATGTAAACCATGCTACGTAGACAGTTTCGATCGTTGACCAATAAGTGCCACGCCCTATTACAGTGCAGTGTGTCTCAGTAAGGTTGATGTAGTTATCACCTAGCGAAGTGTTGCTGAGGTCACGTGACAGTATTTGACCGTTGGTATAGTTGTGTAAGGATCTCGAAGTGACATTACCACAAACAGTACGACGATTAAATTTCGGGATAGTCTCAATACAAAATGTTATTGTTGATAATATTATCACAAGTAAACTGAATTTCGCCAGCAAATCCGCCCAGATGGAAGTGTGGGGGTATTCTAAAAGCCTCCACATTTTCCGCTGAATCGGATGTTCGGGCATTTCTTCCTCAACAACTTTCACTTCCTCAGGTTCAATTTCCTACTTGTATCTCAAGTCAGCTTGATGAAGCTGGAAAAATTTTATCTCTTCTAAAAAACTTTCCCGTGGAACGTGATCTGGACATGATAAAATTCCGCAGGATTGATAGAAAAATAGTATGGAGTCAAAAACAACTTTATCGCGATCAAAACAGTATTCCTTGCTCAGAGTGTTGTAATATTCCCTCCGCTTAATTGGGGAACCGAGCAGTGTTTGAGGGTACTGTGCCAGAGTTTGTTCGTAGGTTTCGAAAACAAGTCCCCTAACGTTGATCCGAATTCTTATTCCTGTATCCGCTGTGGTGACTGACTGTGGGCCATAATGTTCCAACAAACTCTCACCTCTGCCGTAGCGCTCTCCATCGTAACCAGATGCTCGTGTCGATGCGGCTACTGACAGCGCATGCATCACTGCGGGTTATTTCACGACAAGTCTATAGGGACAAATCATAAGAAACTAAAATAAGTTGCTTTTTAGTAACCTTACGGGTAGAACGAAACCCATTTTTAAATTCTATGAGTTCAACATGAAATGGGTTTTTAATGCGCACGAGTGACTACTGCAGCTCTCTATTCCTATTTTTTTATTTTGCAGTTTGTGCTATTTTCCCTTCCCGTCACTCCTTACGTGCCTTTTAGAAAAGAGACGAGAGGAGACTGGAAACGAATCAGGTATGACAAGAGCCATAATTGTCCCAATTATGGCTCTTGGGTATGACCATTAACATTTTATTCAATTTCAGTAATTTACAGTTTCTGGTACAACGTTCACCTCCCTTATTTTCAGCTTTAAGATTTTCACTCCTTTTGTTATCAGGAGTTAGACGCGAAAAGATCTTGATAAAGACATGCAATAACCAATAAGACCCTTATTTTTTTGTTCATTTCTGTTGGTTTTCGTTTACTTACTAGTAAGAAACAGAATTCTTCTTTGATTTTAAGTGGCGTAACATGAAATGTACTATTTCGTCAATACAACGAATTATTAACTTGATTTCCTGATTGACTTTGATTGACACCAAGTTACGCAATTAAGCCACGTGAATAAATCTGCTTTCAGTTCAGATGTTTTAGATTCGAAGTGACGGTCATGTTTTGCTGACCTGTCGCGCTGACCCGTATTCTGTTATACCCTGATCTGTTATATCTGTTGCTGACCTGTATACCGTGAAACAATCCTACTAGACATCGCCAAAGAAGTAAGATATCAGTGCTGTAATTCTAGCTAGTAGTTTGACTCGTGTGTTTATGTATCGATAGATCCTGTTCAGTTTCTCAAATGTATTTCATTCTTTTCTCTAGATCGAATAATAATACACTGGAATAAATTATACGATTTGCGTAAGCTAGTTGGATTGCCTGTTTGGTTTATTGGACCACGTACAATAAACCAGTCACCAGTCAGCGGTTACCAACCGCTGACTGGTAACCGCCAGTCAGCGGTTACCAGTCTGACTGGTAACCAGTTGTCAGCGGTTACCAACCGCTGACTGGTAACCGCCGTAACCGCGAGAGAAATTGTACTATATAAAAGTTAAATAAAATTCATTAAGTTGTTTCGTCTTCCTTACTAGTCAGAAATTGGAACATAGAGCTTCTCGAAAATTAAAACTAAATTAATTTAGAAACAGTGTGCATGTCAAAAAAAGCTAGAATTAGATCGAGTGAAATTGTCATTGCGGTAAAACTAATAAGCATTCTGTATTTAATAACATCTTTGCTCCTCAATGAATTCTTTACATAACAAATTTTACAAAGGACAAGATTTAGATTTTTTTTTTTTACTCGAACAAATGAACGAGAGTGCTTAGCCGAAAGCTGTACCCATGGCATTTAAGAATAGAGTAAACTCACCAAAGCTAGTTTTCATGTCGTTTTTTTTTAATGTGCGTTCAGTTTTATTAACTTGGCATGCGCATAAAGTTGGACAAAATTCTTTTTCTTTAGGGGGATTTAATTGATGAACATACGAGTCCTCCTTCATTATCTTTTTTAAACTTTTTTTTTTTATATTTTCCTTTGATGCCAGTCAAGACACACTAATTATAGCCCTCTCTTACCAAACATATTGCAAACTACGCCCAATGATAAAGTATGTGATGTTTCGCTACTGTGAAAATTCAATTCATTCTTTTATCTGTAAAAATTCGAGCTTGAAACTTCCATACCGATAAAGGAATCATGCTACGTAACCTCATTACGGAATTAAACCCGCAGGAGTAAAGCTGGTGTGATTTGTAAATAGATATTGCACCGATAACAGACTGACGAGAACTCGAAAACAATATAACTGACCTTCGAATAATCGTGTGAGTAAGACGCATAATGCGATTTTAGATAATTACACTGAAGAGTGTGTTTGATAAGTTTCGTAAGCAAGAAAGAAGTCGAAAGCTTTATATAAAACTTATAGGATGAAATTAGTTCTAATCTGATCAAGGCTTTTTACACTTCCTGTTTATACGTTCACTTAAGAATAGAAAGCTTTTTGTTCTCAGACGATCAAAGGATGGTCTGTAGCTGGATTAAACCGCGAGGTTATCGAGCACAAGCAAGCTAGAGGCAATTATAACAGATCTATGTGCTTTCGTTGGAATTAAATAATTTGAGCTTACCTTGGAGTGCGTGAACCACAATTGAAAGAATGCCTATGGTCTTTGTGTTTTTGAATAGTGGTTGGGAAACCTTATTGGCGTCACTTCATCTTTTTGAGCTCGCGTGAGGAGGAGAGTTCCAGTTCTCGATGTAAAAACACGCCCATCAGACGAACCGACTTCAAAATACTTATCTGTAATAAAAATTGAGAGGAGGGAGTCGGTAAGAAAGAAAAACATCGAGAAAATGAGACAAAATAATCGCAGGCGTGTTTAGATTTTCGGAAGTTTAAAAACTATTCAGAAGAGGAACGCATTGGGTGACTTCTCCGAACAGAAACTCAACTGCCTTTGGTAAGCGCAAAGCTGCACTTACATTGACAACCAAGAGATTTCCACGAACCTTTCGTAAGTCTTAAAAACACGTCTTACCAAGTCAAATGTTGTCATCTGAATAAATCAGGTCGTGTATAGTGTTCTATCCTGCTGCGAAAAATTTTAACCGCATCAAGGCTTAACCGCGAATTTTTTTTAGCACGTTCGGTTTTAAAAGACCAGCGCAATGAATCAAGGAAGAAACGTCCTAGCACAGTTTGAAGAATTGGTGCCACCCGTCAAATATTTGCACACAGGTTTGATACTTATCTCGAAGAAAGAAAGACTGGAAAATTCTAGAATCTAGAGACTCCTGTTACAATAGCGGGTCGTTTTCTTTGGAGAGCAAAGTAATAAATGATTAATGGATCAAATTTTTAACGCAGAAACGAAACAAAGGGTGAATGAAGTAAATTGTTTGAGAATTTATTGTAATATAGACTTTATTATCAATACAGTTGGTGTGACACAGGCCGGCGAAAGGCTCAGAAAAAATGAACCGACAACATTAAAGTTATATGGAATAGGCGTTGCTCTGGGATCAGTCTCGAATATTTGTGTAAACATGCCCTCATTGGGAATTGTCTTTAATTCAAGATCATTGTTAAATTCTGTCCTAATGAAAAATTTACGAAGCGTTTTATCGATTCGCTCGAGCGAAATAAAGACACAAAAAAGTTGTATTATTCTCGAGTAAGGGGCTAAGTGTTGTCAACGGGTACCAATATGTAACATAACTGGAAAAATAAATGCAATAAAAATTGATCAACGAATGGAACAAATTGTAGGAGATTCTATCAGTGTCATCGATCAATCCATGGTGTCTACACTTTTCTGGATTGTTCGTGGTACGGACAAATGTGATAAAAGATAAGAGTTATTTAGACTAGCAAAAGACAATTGTGTAAATCTTTAAACAGGTGAAACTTTACTTGTACTGTACAAAAAGTTGAAGTTTTGTATGCAAAATTTATTTGGGTCGAAAGGCAATTTAATTTTTCCATGATAGTCGAGCAAACCGATATTTTTGGCAAACAAAATTGAGCTGACTACAATCAACGGAAGTGAAAATGATTTGGAAATGCAAAGTACTTGGTCAGCGGTTTACTTGAACAATGTGCACGTTTGCTTCAGAATCTCAAGAGATCCCGCCGAATAGCACGTAAAGATCACTCCATGCAAAGTCACATTTCTGCTTTTTTATGCACAGTAGTGAAGTAAATGCATAAAGAATGAGATAAACATTCAAGAGCGGGGATTTTTTCCAAACAAAAATTTATCTGAGACTAAAGCCTCGAATCAGGATCCAAACGGTACTTCTCCATTCTTGACTGTGTAGAGTTCTCTTTGAACCAGTTGGAAAAATATGGTGTTCGATATGTCTAGATAATACTCTAGAATTCATGCATTCGTCTACCCTCAGCGTATGATTTCTGGATAATGTTATGATATTTTAGGGAGAAATTGCATTTTCATCTTTTGTGAGAATGAAATGGTTCAAGGGGAAGTTTTTGAACCCCAAAACACAAGCAAAGGACTTATTTTAAAATCTTAATTACTGCTGTAAAATCGATTAGCTACCAAGCTTTGCTTGATAATGTTACAAATCGTTCCAGCTGGCTTTAAATTCTTTAATTAACACCTCAATTCAAATCACCTTTAAAATTTTAATTTAAAATTGAAAAATCAAATAAAAGATAAGTCAAAATCAAATCAGATATTAAGGGGAACCCTTTTTTTGTTAACTTGTTCTGTTTACAATTTTTGTTAGCTATGAGATGGTGTGGGTTGAAACACGCTTTAATCAAAGTGTTAGTGGCTAATTACAATCGGACTTCCAAACCATTAGAAAGAAATGATTGCACTGAATTGTTTGCAAGGATGAATAAGTGAAACCAACTCGACGTAAACAAGCATTCATACGAATAACAAACGAAACAGCCAAACTCTAGTCTATTATTGAATTAAGGCTGTTATTCGACGTTCATTCTTTGCGAAGCATTTCTGTAGCGAATGAATTTTGAAGCCATTCAATGAGGCATGAAATGATCGACAGTTCTATTAAGATAGACGATAGAACTTTACCGTGCACTGTCTTATAGCCTCTTATTTACGTTGCAAATAACACGACGTGTCATACTGAATTAAAGCATGCGGTAATACGGACAGCTCTTACTAATATAGCTGCTGGGGGAATTTATGCGGCCGCGGCAGTCTGCAGATACGAGCCCTCACAAAGTCAATATGGCTTGATTTAAATTTCAAAAGCATCACTAAACCATACCGCAGACAAGGTTGTGAACTCGACTTCGTACCACGCAGAGTAAATAAATCACATTAAATATAGTTCTAAAAGTGAATAACTACCGTATTTCCAGGTCATTTTTGTGAGTATTTTCTTATCACAGAACGTGCTGGTTAGTTAAGCGAAATAATTGTCTTGAAAAACATGCCTCTTAAATGTTGCGAAATTAAGTTAATGAGAAAAGTGATGGTGTGATATGCTTCAAATACGATTCTTGTTTGAAACAAGAGTCCGCTCGAAAACAAAAAAATTCCGAAAGAAATTCATTTTCGTTTTCACATTGAATAACGAACATCTTTCTAATTTTTTCCAATTTACAAACCTACTGCCTGCTTTGTACAGCTGCAGCTTTGCCTCGCCAAAAGAATTTTCCTCTTCAATTTCATGCACACAAATTATGGCCCATAATTTAAGTGGAAAACTCTGCACTTTAACAGGCTGCAAAGCAAGGTTGTTAAAATCGCCCGAATTACTGAACGAAACTCGAAAAAAAAAAAGACTTTAAATGAAATCAAATAAGAACTTATCGCATCTGCAAAAGTTGCAAACATACTTGAATTTGATACGATTCCTTTTCCTCGGCTCAGACTTTCCGCTAATTTAACACTTAGACTGATTCTTGTTTATTCCCGAAAGGCGACAAATGTTTTATTCACATCCCACCCGTTCGGGTGGCATAAAACTAAATATTCTTCAGGGTTATGATTGGTTGTCACGTTACCATTCTGCCATAGTGACTCGACCGGACCAACACAAACTGATTGCTTCCCATAGCGTTTCCATTATTGGACAAAACTCTGCTCTCGGCACGACAGATTTGTCAAAATTACTACAACTTTTCGTTTAATATTCCTCTTGCAAACAAGCATGATACATTTTCTGCTGTTTTAACAAACAAAAAAGTGCGTCAATATGATGAATTCGTTTCGGTTTTCCAGTCTTTCCATGAAAATAAATTCGTAAATTTGAGACGAAGAACGTGTCACTTAATGACCTCTGATGGAAATTTACAATTAAAACAAAGGACAAAAGTGACATTATGCTGGTGGTAAAACGTAACATGAACCGTAAGGAGTGTCGAAAAAAAATAGCCCTTCTGATCAGGAAAAGTGACATTGCCTCTCTTCCCGCGTTACAACGCAAAAGATCTTTACGCTGCAACAAGATCCTATTTCCCAAAATTAAAAAACAAAAACATAAACAAACAGTAAAACGGATTTAGGAAACTAGATTACAAGATGGAAGTAAACCCAGGAGATTTGCGTGCCAAGAGCCGTGTTTTCAAATTTTACGTCCGTTTTCAACGGTAGGACGTTGATTCGACTCCCGTTAAGAAATCCCGTCTCATGCCGAGCGATCGTCCTCTGTGTTCTAGTTTTTGCACGATTAGCGGTCCACGGCGGTAATTATTATATTTTATAAGAAGACAAAAAAACACTTTTCAGACATGCTTTTAACATATTTATGGTATTCACATAAATTGTTTCGATTACTCTGTCCTCGTATTACAACCATAATGTTCTCTGATACAATAAGATTATCACAAAGCATTGAGCAAAATCCGAATTACATAATTTAAATTTGTGTCACTTCTACTCCAGAGACAAACCTCTCCAAAATTTCTCAAACGAAATGGAAAAAGATTAATTGAAGCAATGATTCTCACAGGTGAACTAAAAATTAAACAACTGCAGCGAAGAAGCCTGAAAAAATAAAAATTCAGGTTTCGACGAGATTCCCACCGATGGCTGCCAGGTACGAGTTGGGCGCTACTAAGAACTGAGCTACAGTGCCATGGGAGCAGGGTACATTTTAGTTAGTTCCTCTCTCCCGTGAAGGAAACTGCTGACATGTTTTGTTTGTTTGTGTTTTAATGAAACAAAATGATCGATTTTCATCCGCGGGTCAAATTAAATTTTCATCATTAAAAAGTTATGACTAGGAAAAAATTTTGAAAAAAAGTAAATGGAAACAGAAAGAATCAGCCATTTTATTTCTCTACCAAATAAGCCTACAATTTAGATGTATTCTTTACAATTACGACACTTCAAATTGAGAATCTTAATATATTTGTTTGGCAAGTAGTATGAGAAAAATAAAAGTACATCTCGAGATCAACCCAGACAAATCTGAAATTATTATTTTTTATCTACATTGCCAGTGAATCAGGTATGCAAAATTTTGTGCTGGCATAACTGCCTTTTCCAAAAGGAATGTTTCAATACACTTTCGAAAATACAAATCGCTGTTTCATAATATACAATTCAGTTTTCGCAGCAAACATCGGTAAGATTTTTTTTTCATACACTTTGACTTCTGTATTCTGCTTTCCCGCGCTTTTTACTTACCGTAAATCCTCTAGTAAGCCCCCTCGGGGGCTTATTTATTTCAGGTGCCTTAGAGGGGGGGTGGCTTACCAAAGGGTGGGGCTTAATGCAGGGCGATGTTCACTACCAGGATACAATAGGATATGATGTACCGCATTTATTCAAACATGGTTCTCATTTTAAATTTTTTCATTTACCAAATTGGCAGAGTCAATCAATCACCATAATCAATTTTAAATGACAAACTAAAATTAGAGTACTTGAATGAATTTATCGTACTTACTGAAATGAAGTGTTATTCTGAATTTTGCTTTTGAGGGGGACGGGTGGGGGAGCTTAATAGAGGGGGGATTCAATAACTTTCTTCCTCTAAAGAGGAGGGCTAATTAAATGAGTTGGCTTATAAGAGGGGGGCGCTTAATAGAGGATTTACAGTAAGTGTGGTCTGCTTCCCTTTCCACATGCAACATGTTTTCCCGCGTTTTTCACCGGCGCCATATTTCCTTGCTCTTTCCACCAACGAATTGTTTTTCCCACGCTTTTCACCAGTGCCATAATCCTATTTATTTCCACCCACTACATGCTTTCCAGCGTTTTTCACCGACGTCATATTCCCTCGCTCTTTCCACCCGCGACATGCATTCCTACACTTTTCATCGGTAGCATGCATTTCGACACCTTTCAGCTATATCCTTTTTCCCGCACTTTTGCTCTGAGTTTTGTTGGCTCATTATCATCTCATCGCAATCGTCAATGGTTCTGTCTTTGGAAATGAAGGACAATCTCAAGGTGTTTTTGTCATGCGTCCTTAGAAACCAGTGTCAAGTCTCTGAAGTCAAATTGCTGTGAAGCGGGGTGTCTGAGGTTGACTCTGATGCTGTGTTCCTCCATTCTTGATCGTTTTGCTCGTGATCAAACTAGGTGTCGAGGGAACGCTGCCGCTGACCTTGCGGAACGACTGACCTGTAGTATCATGAATTAAAGACATGCTATCACTAAAAGCCGAGTGAGAATAGTATTTCTAGCAAACTTAAACCTTTTTCTTACGTAGGGCCTAAAAAGCGCATTTCCTATGAGCTAACAGCCAATCATTTAAAATCAACATCCAGCGAACAAGTGGTCAAACGTCAGGCAGAGTCGGGAGGTGACCAATTCTGGTCGGTCACGCTCCGATTTTCCGTCCAAAATTTCAAAGAAATGCACCAGAAACGACTGCTGTCTCGCAAAATGAGCATAAGATTATTGAAACGTTCAGAGAAATGTTTTAAAAGGAAACAAAAGTAGGAGAAAGGAAAATTCAAAGATTAATCAAGCACCGGTATCCTTATGATTCTGAGCTCAACCTATAATATAATATAACATAATATAAATATAATAATATAATATAAACATATATAAACACTATGCTGGATTTAGCTGCTTGTGTTGTTGTTCGTAATTGTGTGAGACAACTTGGTTCTGACAACCTGAAAGCGCGCTTCGTTACAATGTTCGCACATGCGCAGACGTTTGATTGCTGTGTTCATTCGGCGAGACTTACCATTGAAAACAGTATCTGACTCCGGTGCATTTAAGTCAAAAGACTTCAATCTTGAGCGCAATCTGGAATTGCGCTGGATGTTGTTCTCGGGTTTGAAGACCACAATGTAGACTTTTGGTATGAAGATGAAGATTAAAATTGTTGTGGCGCTAATAACAGAGCTAAAAGCCAGAGCAACGGCTTGGAATCCTCCTCCTATCCCATAATACACTGGGACGAACGCGATCCATATCACACACGTTGTGTACATGCAGAAACCAATAAATTTAGCTTCGTTAAAATTCAACGGAGTTTTACGAGTTCTGAACGCGTAATATGTGCAAAATATTATAAGGACAGCATTGTAGCCGAACAAGCTCACCATTCCAACAGTACTTATGTTGCATTTGATAAGTACAAAGGCTTGTTGCTCGTAGGATGGGATGGCTTTTGGTGGCTGGATCAAAAGCTCCGTTATGGCCACGGCAAGCTCTGGAGCAATTATTACAGCAGTAATGAGAAGTTGTGACTTTGGGCTAATGAACGATGGTGCTTTAATACCGCTGAAAATGCGCGCAATTCTATTGGTGCGTACCAATAAGGAAGAATAACACATACAGAAACACAAACCAATTCCGAATCTTTGGATCGCGCAGACAACTTTGCCTGGATTCGACACCATTACGAAAGCAAAACTGTAGCAGAGTAATATTCCAGAAAGAAGGACAATGGATAATTCGCGTCCGGATGCTTTTATGAGCGGTGTGTGAGCGAATTTAAGAAACACAACACATACAGCGGCAGTGGCAAGAATTCCTAGAGACGCAAATACGCCAACTAAAGCTATCCACACTTCGCTGAGATATACTTCACGTAGGGGTTCCCAGCCGTCGAACGTAGCATTTGGCTTAGTTCCTTTATCACATGTTTTGCACGTAAAGTCATTTTCAACGTACGAGTCTGCGTCACAGTCTTCGCATGTCCAGCAGCAGACCGTATCGCGTATGCGCTTTATGGCATGAGGTTCACAAGGCTTTCCACAATGCGATTCAAGGTAGTTATTTGCTTGGTAAAGTTCACGAGGGTCCAACATCAATTTTCCTTGGACCCAGCTTCCCAGTTTCCTATAGTATTCACTGGGAGAGTTTTTAAATAAGTAAACGTCGTACTTCCCAGCACTGTCGCCGTTGGAATCGAATTTCACCGGCCCAGTTGTGCCATTAAAAGACACGTTCCGCAAATACCACAATAGCACAGAGCGATCCAGTGTCTTCATGGCCAAGCAGAGGCTTGGCGCCTGGCCGCAGACATTTCGGTGCATATTATGAAGCGCGTGCGCAAATGAAAACACCGCATCGATGACGAAAGGAACTTTAGCATCGAATCTGTCAAGAGCCGGAACCGAAGAACGATTCACGGGGAAAGAACAACGACGATTCTCGGACAACAAATCGTTCTTAAATTTGCAATTAAAATGCTTCTCCCAGTACTCTTTAAACCAAGGATTTCTTGAGTTGTTCCATGGATTCAGCTTCGAAAAATAATCGTAAAATGGCTCTAATTGTGTCTTAAACGTTTGAAACTCGATGGTAATGGCGCCATCAGCGACATCTTCCAAACCTTCAACATGACGAAGTCTTGTCCCCCAAAAGTCACTCGCCAGCCAAATAAACCGTTTCTTCTCGCCTCGAATCTGCGCTCTTTTAGCGGCTTGGAGCATCGAACGAAGATCCTCAGCATTACAAAACATCGCAACGACGCGGATATCCTTCTCTTTAAGAAATCGAGTTACGATCTTGTCATATTCCTTCTCAGTGAAATCTGGTTCTAATTGTCGATGGTCAGCAATACAAACATTACTCATAACCGAGAATTTTTCCAAGATATGCATTCCTTGTTCACCATAACTGCCGCGCGAATGAACTACGAAGACCGCTGTCCAGTTCATGTATGTAATAATGTCTATCATGGCTCGCGCTTGATAGGAGTCCGGGGGCACAGTTCGCGCGAAGTATTCAAACTTGTCCTTGTCACTCAATTCAGCGCTTGTTGCAGCATAGCTGACTTGTGGGACATCGAACAGACGAAGGAGACTAGCTACCTATGAAGGAAATGATACCTTTGTCATAACCTTAGCGCATTCCCAATATGATTATTACAATCGCAAAGGTACCACCATGAAAACCAAGATCGCGTTATAACCCAAACAAGGGCTGTAGACCTCCCCAAATAGTCGTGTTACCTGTACTGTCGTGCTGCTGTATGATGGCCCCACCACCCCCAACAGAGTAGCTTTTTCCTTCACCCCAGGAACCCCTACTTGGGAGCTGCATATTTCTTCCCTAATTGTAAGTGTGCCGAGCACAAAGTTCAGACACTGTTCTAAAGCAGTGTTTACTGTCCCACAATCGTCGCGAATTTCCATACCCAAGGTTATGTTCGGGAGGAGTGCGCTGTTTCTGTTCACCTTAAAGAGAAAATAAAAGTTAATACTCTGCTAATATTCTAAGTTAAACATGGTCATCGAAGAGCGATGCGAGGAAACTAAACTTTTTATTGTCTGGTGTCGAGTCTGTAAATTACGATCTCAACTGCTTTTTTTTTTGCCCCAAAGTAAAATATTTTATTATTAATACCAATCGCTTTTCGGAGGCCAGTGTGTTATGGTTTAAATAATGTATCTCTGGCTACGTAAGTTTAACTCGTTGCTATTACAATTTGTGTAGTTGTTGTATGTGTGTTCATGTGTGAGCCTGTATAAATTGAATTAAAATTTGTGATATTGTAATTTTGCTATCCCCCTCCCTCGTTAAACTTGGGTGCTTTCGGGGAAAACAATATAAAATATGTTTAGATAAAAAAAAGAGTTTCGATGAAGTAACATGCAAGTTCCAATCATAGGAAGTTTGAGCTCGATAATAGTAAAACGTTGACTATAGCATGGGCAAATCAGAGCATTGAATCAAGTCACGTGATCGGCGCTTGGCGCCAAAGGCGTGAAAGCACGCTTGACCAAGTCGACCATCTCCGACCATCAATCGATTCCTCAAGAGGAAATAATATCTACAAACCATTTCATGAACCGAATGCTCCTTTAAATGTTAAATCATTTTTTGTACTTTTACAAATATAATTTGTCAAAATGAAACTCCATTTAAATTATTTGTAAGCCTGATGATACACATATTGAAATACAATCAAAATGTTGATTATGAAAGACCCCAATATCAACAAGCACCAGCTGTGACGTCACAGCGTGACGTCACAGAAAGTAGAGACCCTTTAGGTTAAGCACGATCTGCATCAAAAATGAAAAAAAATATCTTGCTGTTTTCATTGAAAAGTATTTCAAAGAATTATGTGATCATTAAAGATTGACTAGAACGTCAGAAAGTGTTCGAATTGAGACAGCTAAGTAGCAAAATATTATAAAGATACGATCGAAATGAAGTCGGTTTGCTTTATGCAATTATGTCTGCCAAATCAGACTAAAGATTTACAAATACTTCAAAAATGCTCCAACAAAGATGTGTCTATCATGAAAATTCAAATAAATCGAGGAATCCGATTCATTAAAAAAGACGTCTTCAGGTTTTTTTTTTTTTTCTTTTTTTTTTTAACAAACAAAACTAACGTTTATTAATCTTTCTGCCGTGCTTTACGGAATTGTAGTATTCAATAAGCGGATAAAGGTGTAACTTTAAAATGATTAGGAAAAAAATGCATGATTAAAAAGACGAAGAGTGAATTTAGAAAATACATGGCCTAAAATGGTAGGGTTTTTTTTATCACAGTTAGTGATTTAAAGACGGGAAAAACATTCAATTGTACAATACGATTGTCCGAATTATTGCACTGTAAGATCGAATTCTTATTTAGCTTCAAAACAGCCCACGACGCATTGATTTGTCTCCATTAAAGACTTTTTCTCTCTATCTCACAACAAACCAGAGCTAGATTTGATATTCCTGTAAGCTCTGACGTGTAAAAAAAAAAAAAAAAAAAAAAAAAAAAAAAAAAAACACACCATCGTCGAGAACACTTTCGACCGGGGATGATCGATGCAAGCCGTTAGAGATAATCGAACGAACCGAAATCGTTTGCGACATCCAGTGAGAAGAGTTAGAAGAGATCTTTGATTTCCTGAATTCAGGGATGCAGTATATGTTATCGAGATCCCAGTCTTGACATTTTACTCTATCAATTCAACATGGTGCGAATTAATTGTCGTGAAGGTGGCAGATAGCTGGGATCCAGTTTAAGTGATTAAAAATCACATTCGTTGACCGCGCAAGTACAACATCCAAAACAGATTTTTGAAAAATAAATGAACAAAAATAGAAATATACCTGATCCATTGCGTACAACATGGCCTCCACACGATGAATTCCAACTTGTTCATTTAGTTCGCCGCATAAAGATGATCCATTGCCTTTAGCATGAACTGGGAAAAGTCCTCCCAGGAACACATCGCCATCGACTCTCGCTACATGTGATGCTGAGGAGACTTGATTTCTCGGAGTCGGGCTGGAAATAGCGCCAAACTGATGAGAATTATCTGACGCATTTCTATTTGTGGTGTGTACCACAGTGAAAAGAGTGAGCGATAAGAGGATTCGAGGAAGTACCGAAGATTCCTTAATAGACAACATTGAAGATTTCAGGCTTTCAAACAGAACCATTAATCTGCAAGATGAGAAGCTCTTTTGTCAAATATATGACACCAAATATCTGTAATTGTAAAAAGATGGAATTTATATATAAATTTTGTCCGGATGCCACAGCATAATAAGTTGTTGAACAATTCAATTTAGCTGTCGCTAAGTGCGATATCTACCCACCTACTTCTTCGCTGGGAAGATATGATGGGTCTCGGGAAAGTTTGTAACTTTGCTCGCAAAATATTTCGTGGTTTAATGCATAATGCTAGAAATGTAGTGTACTTTGGCATCTATCCACCTTCAAGAGTTTCTAAATATATTCTGTGAGATTTTTGACATGCTTCTAGCCCAGCCTTCGGCAGTGGCATAGGTACGATTTGCTATGGGGGAGGGGGTTATGATTTTCCGTGTACGCTAAGCGAGGAGGCTCAAAACCGCTGCTCTTCCTTGTGTATTGAGTCAATGCGGCGAGAAGGACCGCAGTGGAAAAGACTTATGGGCTCACTGTCGAAAGTATCTGAGTAACTGCGCACCTACCCCTCCCCTAAACAGCCTTCTGATTACATGTTGGGTTAGGGGAGGGGTAGGTGCGCAGTTTCTTTGACTTTGACTTTGATTCGACTTATGATTTGTAGGTTCTTACAATTCACGCGTTTTCGATTTGTGTGATGCTGACCTAGAGAAATACAAATATATCACAAGGTGGGGGGGAGGGGGTAAGATCCCCATTAAGGCCTCCACATGGCTATGCTCCTGCTTCAGGACTCAGGAGTACGAACGAAGGTGTTGGAGCGCTAGATTGGAGAAGAGTTCAAAAGGGTTACGCAGGTGGATACACGCTTGTAGGCCTTTATAAATTATGCTAGCATAATATTTGGTATAATTTGAGCAAACTAGCATGATTTCTTGCAAGTAGCAATGCTAGCATAATTCGCATATTTTGACAATTATCGGATCATTTTTGATGCTACAATTTGATCATTGTTCATCTCTACTCCCAAGCACTTGGTGACGTTATTCGATGTTTTAAGTTTTAGTTCAAGTAGTAGCATTTGTAGTTCACTGTGAATCACTGAGCGGCGTCTGAAACGGTCTGAGCCCGGGTCTGGGGTGCACCGGAACCGGAAGTCACATTGTAGGTCATGTTGGTGTGCATGTTAACATAAACCTCATGTTTATTTGAATTTCATTGTGGTTTGTTGCGTTTCTTTCTTGTAGAACAACGGCTTCTAATTAAAAAATGTATTTTTTGGACTTATTTGCAATTTTTTCAAAGAGCATAATTATAAAAAAAGAGGCATAATTTGGAGAAAAGAGCAACATTTCAGCAAAATTTCGCCCAAAAAAAGCAATGCTACTAGTATAATATGCTACTTTTACTAGCATAATCTATAAAGGCCTACACGCTTGCGATTGAAATCGGCTCGCGCAGCTTTTTCCCCAAGCGTGAGCTTCCGCCTCTTACTCAGGCCTAAGTGGTAAACAGAGAGCCGCAGTCTCAGTTCGTACGACGACATTTTTTAACTTTCCACGTTATTTTCAGCGGTAGAAACATGTTGGCTCGACCCGTCAACTCAACAGACCCACAGCCGACCCAAAAACATATTTCAAAATCTAAATCTCGCGCATACTTATGCGGGTCTCATCTCGCAAACCCGTTCATTCTTTTACGTGTCCGTCTCTTTTGTTTCCTGATATAATTTTAAAACACACTTAAATTACAAAACTATCAATATTTCCATATTGGGTGTAAACACGCCGACCAATTCAAAAGAAAAGTTGAGGGACCGGTAATCGCAAACACTTTCAAGAAACAGCCCTTGGAACAGGCTAAGGAGAATTCATACGTGTGGTGTGACAAGTTGTTCACCTCTCGACATGTAAAAATATTAGATGAGCTTGAGAGCAAAGATCAGATAGCTTTCAGAGAGGCAATCATCGCAAATAGAGCTGTATCCGTTTCGTTAAAGAGCAAATATTGGTACGCTTATCATTTTCAAAAAATAAATCAAAAAATGCAATTATTTTTGTGAAAGAATTACATTTAAAAAACATAAACAACTTTAAAATGCCACCAAGCCACCAATTTGATTTCGTAGACAATAATTACCCACTCAATTCTTCTGGGAAGCGTTTGCTTGCGCAAAGTCTAGCATCTCATCCCGTTTCAACATATGTTCTTTCAGCCGAAAACTGCCTTGTTTGATATTTTCATGTTTGCTACGAGGAGGCTGCTACTTGAATAATTACCAAGCGCTTTCCTTCATTTTCCTTCTAAAATGTTTCTTAAACAAACAGGAGAAAGCTGTCTGAAGAGAACAGACGGATTTCTTTGCTGGAGTCGATCTTTGGATATTTTCAGATATTAAACTACTTTTGATCAAAGCAGAAGGTTTTCTGATGCGATTTACATTAAAAATAGCTCAAAAACACATGATAAAAATAAACTGTTCTTTCGTGTTGCGTTACGGTCGGAATACACACGAGAATTCTTGCCGTAACAACTTCAACATAGAAAGGCTTCTAATCTGAATTACGCAGGCTTAGCTAGCTACTTTACCAATCACTCACGTCTAAAAGGGCAATTACATCCTAGAAAGTTGTGTAAACACACCTTTGGTAACAAAAGATATTGGCTGATTAGTTAAAACGACTAACCTTCAGGTTCTTGAAGCAGTCTTGTGCGTAGACATGTTATTGATAACTCAGTCAATATGGAGGATGGACGGTTGCGCCCTTCTAACTGCGAAAACACAAACTTGAGATCCAACAGGCGACCAGAAAACCTTTTCAACTCGCAAAGACTCAATGTTTACTCATCTGAATTCTCCAGTGGCTAGATAAACCATACACTCTCTTCTTGTCTTCAAGATGCGATCTAAAATTGTCTTTCCAAAGAGCCAAATTCTACGACCTCTCAACTCAATTAGCTGAAAGACACGCAGGGCATTTACGTTTCCGGTGTAAGGCCACCGTAACACTTCCCATTGTCTCTAACCATGAACACGAATTTACTCTGCGTACTTCGAATGAAAAAATATAATTACGAATTCAATGGACTTCGAGAAAAAGTCTTTTCAAATGATAATTAGCCGAGACTTGACCGTATTGAGTGAACAAGCTCTTTTGTTTTATTCTTTAAATATGTCCGGCTAAGTACTTCCGCTGACATCTCAAATTACTAACAGATTATAATCGTTCTGTTCCCGATTTTTTTTCGCCGATCAATTTTGAACTCCAGGAATAATAATAAAAATAAAATTTCCAGTATCGAAGCTGATTAACATGACTTTCTTAAAAATAAAAAAGTGGTCATACGCGGACAATTTAGAGCGATAAGGTTTATACAAAATAAATTTCCTGTTCTGCGCTTTCTGGGATTTGACACGTTTACTTCATCTGTTGTCTCAGAGTTGTTGTGTTTTCTTATTTTGTCATAGAACAACTTGATATTTATTACAGGAAAAACAAAATGTCCTTTATGTGTCGCTCAATACAAAACAACCTTCTCTGGGCAGTGACAAAAAATAATAATAATAAATGATGGTCGTAAAATAAATTATTCTTTTAATCCAACAAATTGCCGCCAATTATCAGAAAACAGGTTATTAGCTTTTCAAAAAGGGGCGTAGTAACACAATTTAAATCTTTTTCAGTTTTTTCCGAATAAATAAAAAAAATTTACGCTTAGGATAAAATCAAAATGACTCTCTTTTTCGCTCAACAAAGCCTCCTTTCTAAAAAGTGAGGGGAAAAATCTAAAATCAGATGGAACTGCGCGGAATCAAAGATTCTCTCTGCGGGTTATTGAATTTTTCTCATCAATAAACAGACGCTATATTAAGACGTTATTTAGACGCTATTGCGAAACTTGTTTTGATATCACCTTATTTTTTTCTTCTAAGGCATACAAAAGCATATTTATTTTCGCGTATAAATTAAAAATTCGTATGTCCTAAATGTCATGCCTGTTACATTAGTGAGACTACTTGCCATCATATTTATTCCAATTTTGGATTTTGGACACTAGTGGCCGATTTTGGATTTTGGACACTAGTGGCCGATTTCGGATTTTGGACACTAGTGGCCAATTTTGGATCAGTTGGACACTAGTGGCCGATTTTGGATTTTGGACACTTATGGCCGATCTATGATTTAGGACACGAGTGGCCGATTTTGGATTTTGGACACTAGTGGCCGATTTCGGATTTTGAACACTAGTGGCCGATTTTGGATTTTGGACACTAGTGGCCAATTTCGGATTTTGGACACTAGTGGCCGATTTTGGATGTTGGACACTTATGGCCGATCTATGATTTTGGACACTAGTGGCCGATTTTGGATTTTGGACACTAGTGGCCAATTTCGGATTTTGGACACTAGTGGCCGATTTTGGATGTTGGACACTTATGGCCGATCTATGATTTTGGACACTAGTGGCCGATTTTGGATTTTGGACACTAGTGGCCAATTTCGGATTTTGGACACTAGTGGCCGATTTTGGATGTTGGACACTTATGGCCGATCTATGATTTTGGACACTAGTGGCCGATTTTGGATTTTGGACACTAGTGGCCAATTTCGGATTTTGGACACTAGTGGCCGATTTTGGATGTTGGACACTTATGGCCGATCTATGATTTTGGACACAAGTGGCCGATTTTGGATTTTGTACACTTGTGGCCGATTTCGGATTTTGGACACTAGTGGCCGATTTTGGATTTTTGGACACTAGTGGCCGATTTCGGATTTTGGACACTAATGGCCGATTTATGATTTTAGACACTAATGGCCGATTTATGATTTTGAACGCTAGTTGCCGATTTCGGATTTTGGACACAAGTGGCCGATTTTGGATTTTGGACACTTGTGGCCGATTTATTACTTTGGACACCAGTTTATTGGCTCAATTTGAAACAAAGAATGTCTTCAATTTCTTCGTGATCGGCTATAATTTGTGATTAGTGTCGGTACTTTGATATTTTTCGAGGAGCTCTTTGATAGTATAGAATGGAAAGTTACGTCTTACCTATTCAGACGACTTTAAAAAAAGAAGGGTACGGTATCGTTTGATCGAGAATTTACAACTTAGACGTTTAGGGATTCAGCAGGCTTCCATCTCTTTCGAAAAATAAATAAAACTTCAGAGTGTATAGAATGGATATTCGCTTTGTCTTATTTCACTTTGACAAGAGGTCTGCGTACGGTTTATTTCAGAGAGTACTTTAAAATTTGAAATAAAATGTCAAATTTATGGCATAAAGGGAAAAGAGAAGATCGCTGAAGGGGGAGCGCGAAAACAACTTTTTGGTCAGCGGGTGTTTTTCATATTGACTTTTGGTGTTAGGTACATGAAGGATATACTTAAAACTCACTTTTGACTGCTTTTGACTTTGAAAGGTGCAAAATGCTTTTATTTTGCCCAACATGTTCGAATGTTTTGACAGTAGAGGAAGGAACTGGACCATCGTCGTATAGGTTTGCCTGTCAGACGTGCCCCTATGTTTATAACATTACAAAAAAGGTGTGTTGTTCGTTTTTATCTTTATCTTTCTGATGTACTTGTTGGTCAAATTATTCCACAATAATTATGTAAATTTTACGAAATCGCCTCCACATAAACATCTGTCCCTTCATGCATTTTCATTTATTTTGTTTCGTCTAATTGAGCCTGGAGAAATGACAAGGTCATTGCCCCTCATTTTTTCCTGCGTTAATTTCCAGACCTTAAATTTTCAAACCTCTCAATTAAGTGCATTTTGACCTTCGTGGCAAGCACAATGTATTAATTTTTTTGCTTTAAAAATTCATAGCTGAACTTTGCTTTTTTTAGTTCAAAAGAGAGTTTGTTGTTCACCATACTGCCCATCTAAATTATTCCTATCATTTTCAAAAACAGGGCAGATATGCTTTTTTGCGGCCTGCTTCTAAAGAGAAAAATTAATCAAGTTTACAATCCTTACACAGTCACAATAACTGTGTGAACGTCCCCTGTTACAACCCTTCACCATCTCAAAGCTCACAAGTCTCATGCATTGAGCGTGGGACTCACGCAAAAATATTCAATCTTACACTCTCATGCTGAATTTATTATTTCTCATGCATTAATGTCTCTGATTTAAACAGTTGATTTTAAGAAGGCACACTGCTGCTTTAGTAGAGTAAATGCAAAAATTAATTATCTACCTACATAAAGATATGATTAACCTTTTGATGCCTTTGTATTCATGTCAAACACTTTCCAACTGTAGAAATTCTCAGATAGAGTGACTCTTACACCATTCATTGGTTTAATTACTGTGAGTTGTACATGCCAACCACAGAGCAGAACTCGGAACAGAGTCTCTCCACATACATTCAGAACAAAAAAAAGAACATTTCTCAGCAACTCCATTATTTCTCAATTTTCTGAGGGACCATACAAACCAACTTGAAAACTCTGCTCATTGCTCTCAAACTGCTTAAGTTTGAATATGAGCTATTGACTTAGATTAACCATTAAAGGATCCTGAATATGTTCTAGACTATGTTCATTAAAAATAATTTATCTCATCTCATCTTCCAATTCTGTGACAGATATCCAGTAAAAAGTATCCACAATTGAAAGAGGTTGATGATGTATTAGGAGGAAAAGAGGCCTGGGAAAATGTGGACTCAACAGAAGGTATGTACCCCCCATAATTTAATTTATTAGTTCTTGATCATAAATTCTGATTGTCTTAACTTTAACTTTAACTTTAACTTTATTTAAAGAGGGAACTGCAAAAACCTGTTACAGTTTTCTAACCTACAGCCCTCGACCCACCCATCCCACCCCAGGGGAGGACATCCATCACACAGTAATCTCGTGCATGGGAAATTAATGTCTCCTGTTTTAGTTTTAAAAAAATTTTGGTCGTCAGAGACAAACGCATGTCTTGGAGGCGTCAACGATGTCTTTATTTGTTCTTTTACCTGAGATTTGACCAAAACCTAACCTTTGACAACAGTGCTTTATCATAGTACCACATATTGCGGTACAAGTCACGTGTTATGCCTACATTTCAGGTCCTGTCGCTCACACATTTGGAGACTTCTGGCGAACAGTCTGGGACCAAGGTGTTTGTGTTATTGTCATGGTTACAAACATTGTGGAGGGAGGACGGGTAGGTCAAACCATATTTACACTTATATCATTTTGGTGATACTCTAGGTCATAGGGTAGAAAGAACCAATCAAAATCCAGGTAGAGTTTTACATCAAGAATATTTTTGTCTTTAGATCAAGTGTCTGAAGTATTGGCCGAGCGCCTGTCCCGAGATGTACGGGCCTGTCTTGGTCTCTCCGGGTGATGAAGAAGAACTTGCCGACTATGTGGTTAGAAAGTTTTCTATTCAAATGGTAAGGTTTTTTTTTTTTTTTGGATTATTTGCACTTACGTTACTTTCTTCAGCGACTAGAGTCGCTACCGTACCATTCGCCACCCCTTCAACTTAGTTGATATAACCAATTATCTTGTTCTCCCCCTCAACGCAACACCACAGTTTCTTTAGAAACGATTAGATATCAAAATTTTCTTTGTCAATATGAATCATGGTTTAACTATCCTGAACATATTGCATATTGCGTATTGCGTATTGCATCAAAAGCCTCCTTACTGACTGTTCTACAATTCTTTTGATGTTAGTTCAGAGAATTTGGTATTGGATCAACTAATAATCCCCTGATTGATATGTTTCTCAATTCTCATCACTTGCATGTTTGATATTGAATTGACATTGAAGGAGAAATTATCGTGGATGTTAAAGTGTTAAAGAAAACAGCGGGAAAAGGATAACTTAGCACTTTTCGAACACAAAGCTTATTTAGTTAGGGGTATTCTGTAGATTTATAATTTTGTTACGATAGTTAAATATTGAGAACAGTGATCACGCCAATTCACGGGTAACCGTAACTTTTTTGTAATCCAAGGAAATTGACATTATCTCCATCGTGCAAGTGGTTTTGCTTTTATTCGTATCCATCCCTTAATGCAGCATTGTAAACACAATCTATTCCTTGCTAGCTTTCGATCCATTTATCCAATCGTTGATGTCTTTTTCTTTCTGCGGT